TACTAATGGCATGGAAAAGAAGGTCAAACCAGGGCTCCTTACCTCTGCCTTTTTACTTAAATGCATCACAATGGCAGATGGAAAGAGACAAAAAGAGAATCAGCGACACAAAGGAAGGATCGTGAATTGTTTTTTCAAAACAAGAGACAGAGCGCTTGATAAAGTTGGAAAGCCCCAAATAGAGAAAAAAAAAGGATTGAAAGGGAGGGGGGCAAGTGTCTGACGAAATCTCTTTTGACAGAGAGGGACAGCCATAAAAATAGGTAGAGACATAGAGGAGAAAAAGAGGGAAAAGATGAGGCCCTGTCTGCATCGTAAGAAGATTAGACATACAGGAGCGAGGAGAGAAGACGTGCTGCTCCAGAAAAAGAAGGACAGAGAACGACAAATTCAAGCTGAGCCCCTCCAAACACACGTGGATGTTCTCTGGGTGGTTGCTTGGACATTTTAAGGGTGAATAATAGCTTTAAAAGGACAATCAAATTAAATGCTAAAGCTCAATAACAGCATGCCTCCATTCCTTTCTCCTCAAAGCATCCTTGGTGTCAGACTCAGTTAGCGCCCTCCCAACATGATTAGGGAGTGACATGACCAGCCATCAGCTAGCGCTCTGGAATCAGCTGGGTGTGAGTCAGCCGCCTGCTGCTTCATTTCCCTCGGGAGGGATAGGTCCGGGTCAGTATGACAAAGAAACTGAAATCAAACCAGCGCTGAGTCACTTCACATGTGAGTGTAGAGGCTGCTTATACTGTTGGCTTTGATGGGTTGGAGGTGAGGAGTCAACAAAGGATGTGAGGTATGGTGTTTTGCATATAATGGAGGAGTTTGGAAGAAGTTGTGTGTGGTTTTTTTTCAGGCTGATCTTCCGGGATCGGTGAGAAAGTTGAAATAGGGACTGTGCACTGGCATATGCTTCTGTCCTTTGTCTTCTGGCTTGTGTTTGTTTATAAGTCCCAAACAAGTCTTCTCCCATGCTTTTTTGTATATCTGTGTTTATTTATTTTCTCAGACTGTCTCACTCCTCCTTTCTCTGCGAGTTCATACCATGCCTCTGTTCTTGGCTCTCGCTTTGCTGGCACAGAACCTCAGGGCAGGTTCTTTAGTTGTGCTATGGGAGTGCTGCAACGCACACACAAACACACACTTAGACACATGCAGGCCTGATTGATTTTTCATTGCCTGTCGAGATATAATATGTCCCAAAGTGTTTGCGTTTGTTTTTGCTGGGAGGGCAAAATTGTCCATCGTTTGCTCTGCCACACCTGGGAACAAATGAAAACCCTAAGAAATAGGAGAGATAGAAAGAGAAGAGGAGAGAGGCGACAGCTGGGAAAATTGAAATGATATTGAGGGAGATGAGTTAGAGAAAAGGAAAGGAAAAGAAAGAACGTTGCAACCCAAAGGGGGTTAGACCCTTATTTCAAAGAAAGGGTTAGTGGTTAGATGAGGAAACTAGGAAGAGAAAGAACTGAGATTTCATAATAATATTCCTTTCCACACATTGTTCTGGTATTATTTCTTCCTATTTCACTGTGTTATCCCCAGAGAGCAGTGCTAAAGAGATAGCAGAGACAGCGGAGAGGCGCTAGGTGGATGGAAAGACATACAGATTGTGTGTGTGTGTGTGTGTGTGTGTGTAGGAGAGAGTCCTACTGTGAAAATGAATAACAAAAATGTTCATAATCATAATCTCTGGATGAAAGGAAATAGTGCATAAAAGTGTGTGTGGTGTGTGTGTGTGTGTGTGTGTACATGTGTGTTACAGGAAGCATCTACAGTTAGGAGTTTCTTTAAAGTGCACTTAAGATTTCTTTGGAAGATCCTTGAGCTTCAAATCACTTTATTTTTCATTTTAAAGTTTTAAGCCTTTTGTCCTTAGAAACTCAGTTGACTGTTGAAGTATGTTCAGTGCAAGGCAGGTTCAATGAGAGGTTGCACTCACATGAAATGACACACACAACTTAACCAGCTCTCTGCAGTGTTATTACTTCAGTGGCCACAATGTGTGCATATTTTCTTAAGGATTTGATCACATTTTCTTGTTATAAAGGGGGACACTTGTTCATGCACAACCAGCAGTGACACAATATATTTTTTCAGTCAGAAGATCACAGATATCTTGAAAGTGGACAGATCATGGATGCAGGATGCAATTTCTGCTACTAGTTTTGTATGTTGGGCTTTGCCTTTAAATAGACTATAAAGGTAAAATTAAAGAGTCTGTATTGGGTTGCATTAATGGATATAAATGAAGCTCAGTTTAATCAGGAAGACCTTCTACTTATGCCTCATTAATTCACAATTCTCTCGTGCTCCTCTCTAATCAGCTGACAAAGGGCGTTTACTCGTTCATTTAAACCAATCAGACTTAGCCACAATCTCCTCCTGCCCAATCATGAAGCTGCTGTCAAAATGTTAATCCGCTCTCCTCTCTGCTGAAGTCATTGTGACCCTCCCGCACCACATTCACCTCCAGTTCATTATATCTAGTGCCCAGGTTGAGCTCATCAGATGTCCACTCCACATCACATCCAGATCTTCATCATTCTCTTCATCCTTTCACCACCACCACCGGTGTCCACACTCCATCAGCTTCACCAACCCCTTCAAATACAAAGACATCACCATGGGGTCTAAGCACCAGAGACTTCCTCATTTCTCATCCTTATTATGCACATGTCAATTAAATATATTTTTTCATTCAAGAATTAAGTCTCTTCTGATTAAAATAATGTCACCCACAGTAAGATGTGTGAGTGCCTCCCCTTTCTGTTAATTAAACATTTGTAGCTGTCCACATAAAGATTAGTTGGTCACACTAATGGGTCTGCGGCTCAAGATTGTGTTTGCAGTTGCACTTGCATAGAGCCGTGTTGCATGCCACACACACACACATTTTCCACAACACACCAGGGTTCTGTAAGTGCAAAGTTCATAAGAACAAAAGACTTTAAGCTCATTGTGTGAATACATAAAGCAAAACAAAAATTAAAGACTTAAGAGGATAGAGTATAGAACTTAAAGAACATAAGCTGACAGCTTAAGATATAAAAAAATTGAAAAGCTGTAAAATACTTTTAAACTGCATGACAGTGATTATAACACACACTTACCCCCCACTATTGTATGCATAATTTAGTATGTGAATTTGCCTTTTCAGTTTGTTCGTGTTTGCATAGCATTAGAATTGCACAATAATTATCTTGTATTAACACATAGCGTCTGTGCATTGGTAGATATGGTGCAGGTGGAAACGAGGGTGGTAGAGCATCCTGCGTGGTAACAAGCTGAGAGAGAGGATGAGAGGAGAGGAAAGATAGAGTAAGAATGAAGGTGAGTAGCAAGCTGTCAGACTGTAAATCAAACACATTGCTAAATATGCAGGGAACACTATAGCTTGGCCAGAATATTTAATTTCATGTTATTATTATTTTAAATGAAATCGTGAGCCCAAACTGCTGTATCACTGCTGTATGTCATTTTAAATAAATACCACAAAAGGTGTCTTGTGCTTTGGCAGGCAATAGTATTTACTCTGTCAGGTCTGATTTCGTGACTCATACTGGTCATGTAGCAAAAAATAGGTTGGCTCAAAAAGACTTCTCATCTTCATTTTCATTGATGAATTGCTCACTGAGAGAGTGGCGGCTGTGTGACCTCTTAGCTTGCATGATGTGTTTCGTACATGCTGTGAATGAGTCACTTTTGCATATACAGAAATGTGTGATGTGAATCTGTCTGTTCCTATACTTGTTTATACTTTGGTAAATAGAAGAAAAGGTGCCAAGCCAAGTATTTTTTAAAAGACTCTCTCTCTCTCTCTATATATATATATATATATATACATATATATATATAGTATGCAGCAATGTTTATCCAAGGATATTATTCAGAAAACAAAAACTCTCCTAATATCTAATGTCTAATGTGGCGATCTAAAGAATGACATTGTACATTAAAATGTCCTTCACAATTTTGAAACCGGTACATAAATATATTAGCATAATGATAAATAAAGTTGTTAGCAAAATAACAGTTATACAGAGTGGATAGCTCTGGAAATCAGTGTCTTTATCAGTAATTTTATTTGAAACCATACTGGAGCCATTTAACACCTTTCAAGGTTCTTTGGTCTCTGCTGGGACATTATTATCCTCATGTCAGGACCACTGTATCCTGTTAACACGAAGACAATCCTCCACCCACTAGCTCTACGAGTGAGTTAAAACAAACGCACCCCACGCACTGAAGCTTCAAGCTGGCAGGCATAAAGGCATGTATCAAAGTTTAGAGGATACAGACACTTTGAAACTCATTGCATTTATTTAGCTCGCTGTAATCTGTCAAATAAAAGACCAAGAAGTTAACAGCCAGTTGTAAGTAAGTGAGCTTAAAGGTATTTTTTACAGTGTTGTTTTAACCGTCCAGTTTAGATATCTTTACTGTAACATCAGCTTGATATCTCAAGTTAGGTTGAATGTAAACAACATAGCTTATAACATATATATCCACCACATAATGACAAGAGCTGCCCGTCAAAAAAACATTGTAATTAACACTGTTAAAGCTTAAAATAGGCTTTTACAGGCTGTCCAAATAGTGAATAAAGGGATAGAGGAGAGAGATGTGAATGAGAAACGCAGGAAGCAGAAGTGAGGACAGAAACATGGAGAAAGTAAAGATGTTACTGTGTGACTGATTGAAGATTTAAAGAAAAAGATAATGAAGGGAACAGGCAGAAACTAATTGAGAAGCAACCCTGGACTGATGGAGAGATATGTTCCAATTTATAGTAAGGTATTAAATTTAAGGTGTAATATAAGTAATTTAAAAACATGCTATGAAATGACTGGCAGATCGGTATGTGTAATAAAAAATCATACAGACTGTGTCTCTTTATTTTACCACTACAAGCCTAGTTTGAAACATATACAGTGTGTGTATGGCTGTGCATTTCTCCTCCTCAGCTGCTATGCTCCTTAACCCCAGTCCTGTTAATACATGGTTCGAGAGGATTAGCATCATGGTGATCCTGCTCAACTGTGTGACACTGGGCATGTACCAGCCCTGTGAGAACATCGACTGCACCTCGGACCGCTGCCAGATACTGCAGGTAAGGTAGATCCCTGTGTGTGTGTGTGTGTGTGTGTGTGTGTGTGTGTGTGTGTGTGTGTGTGTGAGAACAACATGTCAGCACACTGATGAAGAGACAGAACAAAATGATCAATTATCTGACATAAACTCAGAACAACTCACCACTGTTCCTGTCACTATTCCTCAAGCTGAGATGCAGACAAACACTGCAGCTGGAATATTTCCCTCCTGGAAGGTTTACATTTTCTCCTGTTCTCTGAACAGGGAATTGGGACTTAGTTTGTTTTAATATAGTCTTGTGGAGCCGCATGTGATTTTGTCGCTTCGTGATGGGAATACACTTGGAGATAAGTACTAGCAGTTAAAATTGTGGTTGTGGATGACCACAAATGCCACAGCCAACAAAGTTAGCCCCCATGAGATGACTTGATTGATCCTGTAACAGGTCATCAATGACCAGAGTAGTTAGTAACAAGTTGAGTCTTATAATTTGTACTCTTTTGTTAGAGCACCGATTCATTTATGTATTTTTGCCAAATTGCTGATATGTTTCTTTTGTTTCTGTGTGTAAACTGTGTAGGGCTGATGTGGATTATGTGTTACTACTGTAATTTGTCAACTGGCTGAGGACTCAGTGTGTGCCTTTGGGATTGTAATTGCTTTTCACTGAAGTAAATTTGGCAGGCTCAATTTCAGGTGTGACAAGGACGACCTAATTCTGCCTCACATGCTTTTTGTTGGTTTTAATCTCCATTGACTTTTAAAATATGTCTACAATAACCTGCACATGAGGTTTCTGCTGTTGGTTTGTACCATGTGCTGTTGCTATGCTGACCGATTGTACTGCCATATCTCACTTGCCTACGGCACATTAGGGGGGATTATAATATCAAATAAAGCCCCCCAGACCAAACTGTAATAGGTTTATTTATCTCATTGGATTTTCTCTTCATTGTGCAGAGGTATCACATAAGTATACACTGCTGTTTTAAAACTGTACAACACATCTTCCTGCTTCACTATCTCTCTTCCTCCTCCTACCTCTCCTTACCAATACCATTTTTACTCCTCCCTATGTTCCCATTCCCCCATCCTACACACTCACTCTCTCTCTCCCTTCCCTCTATCCCTTTGTCTCTCTAACAAGCATATTGTCTCCCCAGGTAGTGTGAGGGGTCCTGTTCTGGTGGTTGCTAATGGTAACAGGAGGGATTTTGCTGACAGAGCTTAGATTATTAGAGTGGCCCTCACATGCTTCTCTGGCCCTCTGTGAAATACAGCATCCCCACCTCACTTCCTGACCTCAGGGGTTCGAAGTCTCAGTGAAGGGTGGAGGGGGATGGGTGGCGTACTTTGGGGGCCATGTGGTACACTTTGGTCAGTACCTAAAAATACAACAACTTAAAGGATTAGTTTGACATTTTGGGAAATATACCTTTTTTTTCCCGAGATTTAGAAGAGCGACCATACCTGTCTCTGATCTCTGAATGCGTAAATATGAAGCTGGAGTCAGCAGTTGGCTGGTTTCTTTAGCATAAAGACTGGGAACGGGGAAACAGCTGTCGTTGTTTACACTTAAGTATTTGTGTGGGTTTAACAAGATAGAACATGTTAATCGGTGAGCTTTAGAGGTGCTGGGATTTTGGCCTTTGCACATCAAGTCGATATTTTTACGTATGTATTTTTGTAATCCATCATTCGATTGAATTTGTCACGTATTGAAACCTTGCACACTGAGTCTGATGTGTTTTATTATCATATTTGTTGCCAAATACACAACACGAGATGGAGTTGTCACCCAATGAGGATGATTTTTTTGATCCTCTCACTTGAAAGTAGAAAAAGAATAAGTAATTGGGTCCAAGATGTCAAGAACGAAGAGAGTTTCACCTGCTGATAAAGGAGCTGTCTGCTTGCTGCTGTCACTGTCACTCCATCCCTCTTTTTTCCTTCCTTTAGAGGTTACTCCGCAGGCTGTCGCCACTCTGCCCGCATCTTGCATCTGGCACCACGGCTACAAGAGGCTGAGCTGTCCCCCCCTCTCTGTCTGTGTGCGGTCGCTCTCCCTGCTGTCTGTATGCTTTTCTCATCTGACTGGTGGAAAAAAAAAAAATCTAACCTGTTCCGAAAACTTTAATGATGGACAAAAGTTTTGGAGTCCTTGTGTAAACATAATTGACAGAATGTGAGGTTGTTTTGTTTTTTTAACGTGCAACAATTTTGGATGAAAAAAACAGACTTGGTGTGCATTGGCCCTTAGACCCATTTTAGTTAAGCTAAGCTAACTGGCTGCAGGCATTAGCTTCATATTTGCCATACAGACATTAGAGTGGTAATAAGCTTTTAAATCTTCAGTAAGAAAGGAAATAAATGTATTTCCAATAATGTTAAACAATTATTTTAATTAGTTAGACTATATGACACTGAACTGTGATTGATAATTCAGCTTTAAATGAGCCTGAAAGAGTCAAAATAATTACTGCACTGAAAAGTATATTAGAAATTAAAGGACAGAGTCAAAAAAATTAATGGATTTTGATTTTTTTCAAATGCATTTTTTCACTGCCTTGAAGAGCACAAATATATTTTAGAGACAAATATCTGAAAAACTCGGCCCATCAAAGCAGAATTATCTGCATGGCCAGTCCCCACAAGCGTAAGTGTAATTTGGGTGGTCTAACTGTTCAACATTAATTGTAGTGAAACATAAAAACCTGACAGCTAATCTTACACAGTATGGCCTTAATTTCATGAGTGAATGGGACAAGGGAAAGCAAATTAAAAAAATTAAATATCAATAATGATTGAAATTTTTTAATAGATATTTCCAGTGTAAGACAGGAAGTTAACAACCTCACAGCCAGAAGCTGCAGAAAATTGTACCTACTGCAAGGAGGTGGACGTCCTTTCCAGTCGGCTCTGGCCTGATTTAACTCATGTCTGTATTTGCATAGTCATTTCACATAAATGGAAAGTTGTTATTCGACCTAAAATGGATTTGGATGGGACAGGATTCATTATACCATCAAATCAGCACCTGTTCGACCTCTTTAATTGAGCTTCAAATGTTCAGAAAACACTCTTTGTAGAATGACTGCGTCAGGTATACCTTTTCCTGTCCTATTTGTCAGTGTGAAATGAACATTTGTCCTCATGGTGCCTTTGGATTTATACACTGATCACTCTCGCCATTCACTTATTCCACAAGTAGGGTAAGACGCACACACACATTTTATTTTAAATGATCCACCATCACAACTCCTGATGACCTACTTACTACATCCGCTCCTCCTGCCAAATAAGTGGCACAATGACAGCATATGAAGTAGCTTCCACACCAGCTCCTATTTCAAATCATGAAAGGGCCCATCACAAGACAGCCTCAACCTCTTTACAAATCATGTTGACGATAAAACCTGATAGGCTGACTGAAGAGGAAGCTGGCGGTAGTGACAAATAACTATGATGAATTCATTCCCCTTTCACTCAGAGCAGAGCGCGACAGGGATCCAACTGGTGCAGCCAATGTCGGATTACATGTGAAGCGTGCAGGCTGCATTATTTATCAAAACATCATTTAAATAGCATGTGAGACTGATCTTCTCATCTTTCCTATTGCATGCTGCCAGCTCTCTCTGTGTGTGTGTGTGTGTGTGTGTGTGTGTGTGTAACAGAGGGAGAAAGAGTGAATAAGCAGGAACGTAATACATATGTTGGCTCCAAATGTATTACAAGGCACATGGGTTGGTCAGTATGTTAAAATAGTCCAATTGGCCACAGTCTGTCTGGCGATTGCCAATTAAATAATAAAATAAAATGTCCCAACCTTTATACATTTACAGTACACAAAAAGCCACGCTTGAGTCCAAATAAAGCACGGAGTCATACATCTACAGTGAACACACATTTATGCTTATGTCTATGCACCCAAAAAGGGCACTAATTTTCACCAACTCATTTCCTCATCTGCTTTTAGATATCTTGATATAACAAATGGTACAGACAATATCTTAATTTGACTTGTAGAAAAAGGGAATAGATTGCTGCTCATCCCATCTCTTGACTTGCTATTTCTGACTCAGTTAAAACAAAAAACCCTGCTACTGCCAGTGCTGCAACTAAGACTGCGTATTGACAATAATCAGGCAATACGATACGTATCACATTTTGTTTCATTTTAGGAAAACTGTCTGAAATCTGAGTAAAAATTTTAACTTTTTATGCAACCAGAACAGTGTGGGGTCAGTTTACAACACCACTATTAAACACTAAAATTGATACAATATTTTTGAGAATCTATACAATATGACAAAACAAAATGTCGAGGCAGAATATTTTTTGACATTTTCACACCTCTAGCTGCAACATAGATAAATTCCCAAACTTTCACAGACCATTTGACTCATTCATTGTGCTCTACAGGTACATACACCATCTTGCAATTGTTCATCAGTGCAAAAAAACTCAATTCTCCAGCTGAATGATATTACACCTGGTTGTCCAAATGTACCACATATACGTTTTTTCTAGACTGCCGTGGATTCTAGGCTCTATCTTGTCATTTTATTGCATGGAACCCTAAAAAGGTAATAATAACCTTTTGTAAAATTGTTTTCCTATTGCATCATGTGTATTGGTTTGTCTGATCTTATCTGATTTGTTGAGTGCACAAAATTCTATTCTCAGGGCATAACAATTGTACTTTATATTACATTATATTTGAGCACTTTAATATGTTTTTCTTATAATTTTTTGTTCCCATGAGATTGTCACCAGCTTAAGCTGCTACCTTACCTGTAGATGTTTGAAGAGCAAATTAAATGGGTGAACGTTCCTTCATTTTGACTCAAATGCTTTATTTCATTCATTCAGAAAAGTCAGTATATATAACTTTGAGATTAAACAGTAGAACAAAAATGTTAACACATTTGCAATAGTGTGCTCTTGTGCACAATTTGAGGATGGATGACAGGTTTGGGAGAAGAAGGCTTGTCATCATCTAAAATCCAAATTATGACCAATGAATTATTTGCAAGCAGCCATGCTCCTTCATTGCATATTTGAATTCCTGGCCTTGGAATTCTCTGTGTCAAGAGGTAGCAGCTTGAGTTATATGTAGTAGGAATATGTAACAAGGCAGCAAACACAGTCATGCAGCCTAGGGCAAAGCACTGGGAAAGAGTTTTGTTCCGAAAATACAATAGGAGGTTTAGCTAGTGATCTAACCATAATAATGCAAGCTGGACATGGCAGAGATATGAGCTCATCTGTCTCTCTCTTTCCATTTATCTCTAACTGTCTCTTCTCTGTTCATCTTTGTACTCTCTGTGGTCTGACCCAGATCTCCCTCACTTTCTTTTTCCTGTATTGCAGTATTAAAGTATTGCAGCGTGGTTTGGTGCACATATGTGGTATTATATTAGTACAGACACATGTTTTCAGTGCATGCACACACACATTTAGCTCTTTTAAGCAATTCAAATCACAGTGTTAACAGTAAACTTGGCTCAAGCAATAGCCACCAGTGCTTTGAGAAAACTCAATAACACATTGAGAGAACATCAGTCTTGAATACATATTCAGGTAGTGTGCTATTAGATCATAATTTGTGGCGTTTAAAAGGGCAGTTGGGTGAAAATCAGCTTTGGGATGGGTCTGCTGTGGAGTGTGAAATGTAAAAAGTGTTAAAATTGCCTTTGAAAATAGAAGGTCATGGATTGTTTTGAGGTGTTCGAATAGATAGGGGTCATAACCAAAAACAAAATCGCCTGAGGCTTGAGAAGTGTGCATGTGTGCTTCAGGGTACTTGTGCAGTTTTACTTTTCTTTTTGTGTGGTGCTATCAAACTAAATCTTTTTTTTCTTTTCTAGAAGGTAAAAAGAAATGAGAAAGCTCTGATAACAGCTTGAGCCTGCTTCATGAACATACCAGATGAAACAGATGTCTGGCTTATGTGTTTAAAGTAAAATGTATATGCATCTTTTTTCTTACTTCCTTATCTTTCTCTGTCTTCCCGTAGGCCTTCGATGCATTTATATACATCTTCTTTGCATTGGAGATGGTCATAAAGATGGTGGCTCTTGGGATCTTTGGCCGTCGCTGTTACCTGGGAGACACCTGGAACAGGCTGGACTTCTTCATCGTCATGGCTGGGTAAGCAACTATGTCCCAATGGTAGCACTAATTCTACTTCCGATAAAGTTTGTCAGGAACAGAGTAGGAAGTAGTGTCACATTATTATAGAGCCTCAAAATCACACAAAGTTAGGGCAAACCTAACCAAACCTTAACTACTGTAAGATTAGAAAATGGTTATATTTTGAAACAGTGATTTGAATTATTTTTTATAGACAGTGACAATGTTGTCGTGTGGATTGTGGAGTCATATCAGAAAACACTTGTATGTGTCGTTCTGGAGGGCAGTGACAAACATCACACTCTGACGTTTAATTTGGAAGACTTGTTTGCTCTAGGACTTGTTTCCCTGATGATCTCCCTGCAGACTCTCTCTGTTACTCCAGTCTAGCCGCGACTGCTTCTCACAGTATGACTACTTTTTCATGGGTTTTCTAGGCTCTTTATTAAAATCTGAGAAAAGATTAATAAAGCCAATATGTTCTGTTAAGTGCAACAAGATTTTTAGTAACTCAAGACATTTTCACATTAACTCTCTGTGTAGAGCCAATAATGCGGTATGTCACCAAAACTGTCCATGTGACTTCCAGCATTTTGCTGTTCATGCAGTTGTTTATCAAAGAATAATTGCACATTGAACCATGTTAAAATACTTCTGAATCTTACCAAAATGACTTTTTTGTACAATTAATAGTTTACACACATGCAACTTGGTACTTTGTTAAATTGGAGCCACTTCCATTTAGAAACAATCACATGAATCCTATTCTATGTCGAATAAAGCCATAGAGACATTTTACCAGTAGACTCATTGTACATGCAATATTGTAACAGCAGACGGGGGCATGTGTGGAGTATCCTCTGAGAATTAAACCATAAGGCAACAATCTCTGGTACACTGCCACAGACACTACAGTACAAGAGAAGTCTGGGCATGCTGCAGTATGCTACAGTATAGGGTATTCATTAGGGTAAAGATGAAAACGTGTGTAATTTTTGGAATCCTCCTTAGTCGTTAGGACTAGCACATAGGTTTAAATTTGAGGTAAAAAGGGTTTGGAAAGCAGATAGGAAGAAGGAAAGAAATTAAGGCATGTCAGACTGTCAGAATTTGAGTTTTCCAGAGACACCCATGTTGAAACATTCATAACACTTGTCCACAAGAACATCCAAATCCCATTGTCATATTGTGTAAGTCGTTACATAAGTTTGGCTTGTTCTTACAAAGTGCCCATAACACACACTGTTATCGCAGAACTATACACAAGTGCTTGATGGGATGCATTTGCACAAAACAAAAGCAAACACACCTGCTCAAACACCTGCTATGAACGAAGTGAAATGAGAGGCTCAGACATGGGTGATAAAGCAAGTCTGTGCGTGTTTGTGTGAGAGAGAAAGAGAGAGAGAGAGAGATGGATAAGGAGAGTGGCTGGTATAATAGCAGACAAAGACAGGTAGAGCAACAGACTTACCAGGGTAGGTGGAAGGGACATTCATCTTCATTTGAAAATCCCCACTCAAAGCTCATAGTTTGTGTGTGTGTGTGTGTGTGTGTGTTTTGTGCAGAATTACACACAGAGATTACAGTGTGCCAGTTTATGCCTTTTGAGTTTGTTTAATCTGTGTGTGTGTGTGTGTCTGTATATGCATTTGTGTGAACGCCTCGGTCTTCGTTTTCCTCTTGGCAGCATCCATTAGATTAGCGTCTAGGCTAATTGCAGAGGGCATTGCCAAACTTGCCAGGCCAAATCACAGCCGACAGCCTGCTATGAGCTCTGTGTCTGTTACCCACAGGCACCACCTCGCTCTCTCGCCCTCCTCCTCCCTCTCTCTTTTCTTTCTTTTTTCACATGCTTGGATGAACATCCTCCCTTGTCATCCCCCCTTCAGACCCCATACAGACCAGGCATTCGTCCAGACATTCTCCATAACCCTGCCTCGCACAAAGTGCTTCCTTGAGTCTTTTTTGTTTTGTATACTGTGAGTTTTATTTTGACCTAATCCAATCTACTGAGACTTATTTTTCCCAGCCTGTTTGGTATCTGAAATATCACAGCATGACCCCTTCTACAAGAAGTCGGTCTTACCTTCCATATTTATTCTAATGTATGCCTAAGATAGGTTGAAATGAAAAACAGGTCAAATAAATGGTAAAAGACTTCCTCACCCTGAGCAAGATTGACTGGTGTTTCTATTTATCAAGCATATTAAGGAGCTGTACGTTGACTTAGCCTGGTGGATACACGCCTGGTGCATCTTTTCAGATATGTATGCAACGAAACAACGACCTGATTACATTTTGTGAATTTTGTGCCCTTCTAGCCTTCAGTAGCTTAGCTGTAATACATAATTAAACAGAAAAAAACAAGTCGGCAATGCAGCTGTAGTTCACAATTTTCATGACTTTCTTGGACATTCTCACAGCCAACATTTGACATTTGTGTAAACGAAGAAGAACTACTTCCTTGACGCAGAACTTTGATGAAGGCAAGTTGTTAATTTGACAGTCAAGTCACTACAGATTTTGCTTGTCTAAATTCAAGACTCAAGATTAATTTTCCTCTGAACTCTTCTCACTACATCTACCATAGGTTTCCCCTGAAGCGTTGCATTTCATATCGATACAGACGCACACACACACAAACACACACACACACACACACACACACTAGAACACACTAGTCACATAAAAGCATGAATGAGATGAAGGCATCATGAACAAAAAAAGGAATGTGAAAAATAGAGAACAATCATAAAAAGGACGCTTCCGGCAGTCCACTAATTACCCTCCCAAACACAGCGGCCTGATTGATGTGCACAGGAAGAGACACTTCTGTAGAGCGCACACACAAACACACACACACACACACACACACACACACACACACACACACACACAGTGCGCATGCACACACTTACAAAGACACACATGGCTAAGGACCTACACACATGCAGGCACATCTGTGATCTTCTGTTCTCTCTTTCACTTTATTTACTGTCCTCGAGATACAGTTGGATTGCTAACAAACAACAACAAATTTGCTTATCCATGCAATTGTTTTTACTTTTGTGGGTGTCATCTATCTAGTAGTTTATTACTCACCCTGTAACCTAATCAAGCAACATTAAAAATAATCCAGTTTTTGTGCTCTTGAGCTCACTGAAGGGAATGTATGTTTTAATTGGTTCAAAACTCCCTGTTGACATTTTAGCCCTCTGTTCAGTCCCTCAGCAGTCTACATCAGATCATTACAGCTACCACAAATACTATAATGTTTGAGGCAGGTTGTAATAACACCAATATGTCCAGCCGGAAAGCCGGAAAGCCTGGCCCCAAAACAACTGTTGTGCTCTTCTCTATACTGTGACATTTCCATCAAGCTGTTGTGTGGCATTTCTGTACTTTCAACTACGCCGGGTGAAGAAAATTGGTTTGCGTTGTGCCTCTACATCTTCGAAAAGATGTACTCTTTCAAGTGTGAGGCTCATGAGCTTTACGGTAAGAACAAAAGAATTAGACTCTCCCAAAGGAGTAAGCATTTCACCTAAAAGTGTGATCTAGTTCCCTCAACTCTGCAAATTTGGTTTTAGATATTTCACTACTATAAAAATACATAAATTGTTAGTTAGTAGGGCAACTGCCTGTCAGCTGTACAGCAGTTCAAAGCCTTGCTACAACAAGTAATCCTTCTCAATTGTGAGCTGGGTTGATACTCTGTTGATGATGCTGCGTTGAAGGGCAAATGGACAGAGCTTGCCTGTGGGATTTATAAAATATCACATTATTGTAAATGACATGGCTCATAAGGCTATCTATAGTCCTTTTTACACGTGCACTGCAACTTATCTAGACATTACCCGAAGGAGCTGTATGTGAGCAAATGTCCGAATCAGTTGGACCAGACATTAAACAGACTATACCCTGTCAGCTCGCAAACAACAAACAAAGTCTGTGTAATGTCAGATTAAGCCTATGTGATTGATGCAAAACCTTTTTTTTTTTTTTTCCCTTTTACCACCGTTTGCTTTTTGCATCATGTCCCGTCTCCTGTATGCTCTACTCAGGCGCCATCCTTTGCCTAAACCAAACAAGCATTTCCAGTTGGTGCAACACAGACAATCTTCTGACATAGTACGGACTTCATATGAGGAAACTGCTCTTGTCAGAGACAGTGAGCTTGACTTGTTTTGCCAGAGCCAGTGGATGTGCTTAGGGGGATATTAGCTTGTGTTGGTGCTGCTGCGTTTGGTATCATGCTGCCCCAACACTCTTATAGCCCCGGGCACATCAATGCTGTGCACCGACACGCTTAACTATAGTATTACATATTGTACACCATTTGCACACATTTCCGCTCTTGTTTAAAACACAAACACTGTAAAACTGATTCACCCACTTGAACTATCTCTGTTGATGATAACAGTCATGTAGTATCAGTGTGGTACATTCAAACATACACTCTTCTTTCGCACACACATACACACATGGCAAACCGTGGCCATTCTCCTGTGAAAGTGGTTTGGGTTTGGGGGCACAAACAGCTTAGCCATGCTGTGGAAATGACTTGCTAACAGATGCCAGGCTCTGACTGAGCCACAACATCCTGCAGGCAACACTTAGAATAGAACGAATCCCTCTTTTCCCGCTCTCTCTTTTCTCTTCTTCACCTCCCTTTCATGTCATTCTCCCCTTTTGATGCTTTGTCACTTTATCCCCCCACCACTTTCTCTGGAGTGTTGCAACGGTCTTTGCATTACATTCCCCATATTGTTGAGGCTCAAACAGCTCTGGGAGGGGACAGGTGACACTAGATCAAAGAATGATCACTGATGTTGAATCAAGAGCAGGGACCTCTGGTCCAGCTGGAGCCATGGTAATCCTTTTTTGTCATATTTTGAGCCAGAAGCTCACAGAGGTAACTACAGAAAGGTTAAATTGTCTTTCTTACTGTGTTTTGTCTGTCTTTACTTCTCTCTCTGTCTGTTTATCCAGGATGGTAGAGTACTCACTGGACCTGCAGAACATCAACCTGTCGGCCATTCGGACAGTGCGGGTCCTTCGGCCCCTCAAAGCCATCAACAGAGTGCCAAGTGAGAACATTTTAAGTTTGTGTGTGTGTGTGTGTGTGTGTGTGTGTACACGTGTGCGTGTATTTGTTTGTGCAAAAAAAAAAAGTGAGCTCATATGTGATTATATATTTTCTCTTTGTTTGCTTTGTGTTTATGTGTGTCAGCCCACATAAAGTGTAAATGCAACTGCATGAAAATTCATGTATATGTATTACATCTTTGGCTTTTTTGTGCGTTCGCATGCCACCTGTTCCCCATGGGGATCATTAAACCTTCATCTTATGCTTAATCACACAGCCAGCTCAGGGCCTGAGTCACAGCTTTATCAGATTTACAAACCATGCATTAATGTTGCTTCACTGATCAGTCCGTGACCATAACCCTGTTCCTCTCATCTAAAACTCAGTTTGTGGCCAAACTTTTTAACTCCTATTGATTTCTTTGTCCTGCTGCCCTAACAGGCAGCTCTTAATCATTGTAAGCACCAATTAGCCTGCCCGAGCTAGGTTCAGACTGGTCTCATTATCACTTAGTTCCAGCACTTTAGCAGTTAGCCAGGCATTAGCAGCTAATGCTAATAGGAAGAATTTTTAAGTAGTCATTTTTGGTTAGTATCAGAAAAAGGCATGCCTTAGGTGCTTATAAAAAAAAACTATTTCTGAGATGTAAGTTACCAATGTTTGGACACACACTTTGTCTTGAACTCATCAGAGTGACTGAACAGAACACTTGGGTTCAGTTTTTATCAAGTGGCCCAGAATTCACCCTCCCGGCAAAAAATCTTGGCAAAGATTTTTAAACTTAGGAACTTTTCCTCAATATCTTAAAGCCACTGAGAGAGACTTTAAGATATTCCACTTTTAAATAATCATGAAATGCCTTTGCAGCAGATGGAGCTGATTGCATGAAAGCTCCGTTGCCTAATTCAGTTTGGACCTTGGGGACAGATACTGTAGGAAAAGGAAACCTTTCTAGTGACTGTGAACAGAAAGTTTTACATGTGAGTGAGAGAGATGAGCAGATAGCACAGTGTGTTATCTCTACAAGCCGACATCTAAAGCTTTTCTATCTCTTTTTTTCAACAGATTATTTAACCTTTTCAGCTTATATATCCTCCTGTTTTGCTTCTCTGCTGTGAGACAGATACATAAACACAAATCCAAAATTATAGCCTTCTCTCTACTTAGAGCAAATTCTTACCTATTTTTGCTCGCTATGTAAGTGTCCAATCATGGTAGATTCTTCGTATTTAGTGTAATTACCTGAAAAAGCAGCCTGTCTTCTGTTGATTTCAATTTTCCACACATTCCGAAGGACAAGTTACCTCTCAGGTGGAGCCATCAACAAGGAACCTACTCAGCCCAATATTTTAGACAGACACAGCAGCAGTGCTCAGAAAATATGGACGTTAACTGCATTACGCTTCAAGTGGTTTGATTAGAAGATATTGTGTGCAGCCGAGTGCGCATAGTATTTCAGGGACAAGTGTACAGATTGTAAACAAATCTGCTTCTCTAGAGATGATTATTTATCATAGCATGAATCTCCAGATACATGGGTTTGTTAGCATATGCAACATTAATGTAACAGCTGCATGCTTACTTTTGTGTTCCTATTTGTTCATACTCTAGTTGTCTGTATGTGTGATGTGTGCATACTGTTATTGTTTACGTTGTTATCAGTAAGCTAAGTATTTGGCAGCCTGATTTCAGCCCCTTTCCGTGACCCCATTAGAGGTGAGGAAACATGGGGGTAAAGCTATTTGTTCCTTATTTTGTTGGATTGGTACTTTGCCCACAGATACACAGGGAGCATGAGCACATTCTGACCCCTTCACACACCTCAATTTGTAACCCTCCAACAAAATGCCAGATAATAGTCCTGTGTTGTGTGTGTGTGTGTGTGTGTGTGTGTGTGTGTACTGTTGCGTCTTTTTTGGTGAAATTGGTGTGAGATAGAGGGAGTGCTAGACAGAATAGAAGCAGGGAAGGCAACAAACACTACAGAAACTTGTCTTAGGAGGAAGAGAAGAGAAGAGAGAGACAAGAGTAGAGAGAGAACTCCCCTGGTCTTAAGTGAATAGCACAGGCACATAGTTGCAAATGTGTTTCCATTGTAGCACAAGGGGAAGCATTCATCTTTTTCTGGGAACAGCAGGAGCTGGCAAACTGGTACGGTCACCAGGAGGGGAGAGAGATGGAGGCAGGTATAGTAGGAGAGAAAGAATGAAAAAAAGACTGATTTGTGTGATACAATACTATTTCTTTTCTGTCTGGTTACTTTTGTTTGGTTTCCTTTCATTGAATATTTAGTTTAGTTTCTTTTACTCTTTCGTTCTTTCTTGCTTTCTCTCTTATTTTGGCACTCCCTATTTCTCAGGGTACCCTCGGGCCGCGTCTCATTCTCATCCTCTCTCTCCCCCTCCATCCGTCTCTCTCTCTCCTCACCCAATTAGGCCTAATGGAACAGTGGCCTAATGACAAGGACCCTGGGGAACAAACACATTTAGACTCGCCTCCAGCCACCACCAGAGACACATACGCACCAGCAACGCTACTGCTCTCCATTTAATATCAGTTGACGAGACAAATTAGCCACAGGAGGGAGAAAAATTAGCTAGAGGAGAAAGACAGGTGCATACTCACCTAAAGAATTCTTTCTTCTGCACTCTGGAGATAAAATTTTCATGAATCCCAAAATTTCACTTTCATACCTTCATTAATTTCTAATCCAAAATAGACAAATGACTGCCACATCAATCTGTCATTCACAATTTGTTTCTCTACAGACAGCTTGGCCAAAGTCGGGACTGAACTTCTCCTCAATAAGATACACTATTACAAAAGTTTGACAAAAGATGCATTTAGCTATTTGACCACTGAAAAGGCTTTAAGAACTACATGTAAACTATTCAAAATCATATAATTCTACACATACAGATACACACTGTATGTTGACTTGATGAATGAACCTCTAAATGTGAGCGCACACATTTTAATTGGGCACATAATCACTAATCTAGATGCAGTAAAAAAAACAATAGGGAGTGTTAGCATTGATTAGCACCTGTGGAATGGGGAGAACATTTTAATGCATGAACTACAGGTATTTGCATTCTTGTAAATATTGCCTACATATGTATATCATCATCTTCAACTTCATCACTCTCTCTCTCTCTATCTTCCTCTCCGTCTGTCTTCCTCTCAGCTTCTCTCCTGTCATTCAGTCTGTAGGCAGTTTAGATGCACTGTTGTGTTTATGACACATTAACCCACTGTTGAGCTGTTATTCACGAAGCCCAGTATGCCACTGAAAAACACAAACACACACACACGTCAGATTAGTAGAGACATACACACATAAAGTCACACTCATAGTAACACTAAAAGACACACACACACACACACACACACCTCTCAGGTGTCTGTGCGGAGTTGCTGTGATCTCATCAGTGGGTCTTACCTCTCTCTCTCTTTTTAGTCCAATCAGCTGTCATTAACTTCACATCACAATAACCTCACATCGCAATATGTCATCACTGCAGGACGGGTGAGGTCATCATTGTGTGACAGGGGACATGCCTGTATTGGTGCAATTAGGTTTTATCTAATCATGAACGAGACCTCATGTGGCCTGATTAGTTACACTTCTTTGTTCATGGGGTGGACTGTAGTCAGTATTTGTGCCTTCAATTTGCTGTCATGAGCAGAATTTGAGCTGCTGTTGTGGATGTCTCACACAAATGCAACAAAATGTGGGGAATGCTTTACAACATTGTCAAGTACTACTAAATTGTCATCGCAAATGTGTTTTAAAGGAAATGTAATACCACCCGAATTACACTTTTTATCAACATAATGAGGAAATGTATTGTATGAACAAATCTGGAAAGTCATAAAAATGTTCACTGGCAAAATGTTTCATCTTATCTGCAACTGAAGCCTGATTGACAAGTTATAGGGTTATCTTAATGTCCATCTCAACGTGGTTCAGGTTGAATGAAAAAGTAAAGACTGATTTGAAGGTTACTATATAAGATATGTAGTATTCATAAGATAAAATAAATTACCATAATCTGTCACTGACACTGAATAACTTTCAAACAGAGAGCATTAGAATTCATTTTACTGTAACTTCAGGTTTAGTGTGAATAAAAATGCTACTTGCAGCACCGTTCAAGTCTACATACCTATGAGAAGTTGTGCTATGACGCAATGTAGATTCAAATGGTTTATTTCCTCATCAATGGTATAAGCCTGTGATAATCAATTACTGATTGACCTGCTGTAACACACAGGTATGCGTATCCTGGTGAACCTGCTGCTCGACACTCTACCCATGCTAGGCAATGTGCTGCTGCTCTGCTTCTTCGTCTTCTTCATCTTCGGCATCATCGGTGTACAGCTGTGGGCGGGGCTACTGAGGAATCGTTGCTACCTCGAGGAGAACTTCACTCTGTGAGTTAAACACTGTAGATCAGTGCGTGCAGTGTGTGTGTGTGTGTGTGTGTGTGTGTGTGTGTTTACACAGTGGGTTTGTGTTCTGCCAGTGGGTTTGAAAGCTATGATTGATGATCTCACTTGAATGCTTCCCATTATTCTTCTTACATACTGAAAATGAAGAGCCTTATTACAGTAATAAAACTATTACTAATAAATTATATATTATACAATTTTCAATTGGTGCTGTTTGTACATGAGCATACAATCTTGTCATACATGATAATTTCTCCTCCCACATGGATTTCATCCAAGATTATAGTACATACTGTATGTTCTGTATATTACATACATTAGCATAACTCTGTATTCCAGCATTTCTGCCTATTCCTCTTTCCTCATCTCTCTCAAGCTTCAAAGCAAGCAGTAACAGTACAGTTTTCCCCAGTTTTGCAACTAAGAACGTGATTAGATTCCAGCTGCATGCCTCCATATTCATGACCCTACATGACAGCATCACCTACTGTGTCTGTGTGTGAGTGACATTCAGCAGTATTCAGGAGTGTTTGATTTCATGGCACTCTCTCAGTTACCTGTTTTATGCCAGCATCAGCCGGCTAGAAAGACACATGCCCCTGATGTGTGTGTTCTAATATGTTTATAAGCCATGTATACTACCCTGCGTCTGCGCACTGTCTCTGGTTATGCTGACACAGTGTACGCTAATGACAGATCTTATAGCCAGATGAAAGGGGACACGTGTCCGCCAGCTAGCAAAGTCCTGCCTGCTTTGTCCTCGCCTTAAAGTTGAGAGGCGACATGTACCACAACAACCTCTACAGTAATCACTTCATGAGGTTACTTTAACCAGTGTGTTCTACATTTATCTTCACTGGTCTAAAGGGCGATATAGTGATTAGCAGGCCCAACTGAGGACTCCACTTTGACTTTCCTACATGGGTTAAAGCAAAAAGACAAAACCTCGATATTGAAGTACAATGTTTTAGTGCAGCTTTAGTGAACATTTTTCTTCCAGTGGAGGTGATCTCACATTGAGCGGTTGTTTATTATTTAATCAAAGTATTATTTTTGCCCATTATTGTACAGCATTGTACAAACGTATTATTCAGGTTTGTCAGTGTGCTTGTGTTGCTTAATTAGAAAGGTCGTTGTGAGTTAGCACTTGAGGACTATTATGCTAAGTAAAGGGCTAACATTAGCTCTCTGAGAGGTTATAATAGAGTGGACTAAGTGTTGCAGTCAAGTGCAGCATTCACTTTGCCATTTTACACCCTCCTTCTATTGATCTCTACCTTTCTGTTTTCATGCCTTATTCCAACTCATTCTTGCCTTTATGCTTTATTCTTGTATTTTTCTTATCGAGTCTCCAATTAGCCTGCCTTTTCTTTCTTTCCGTCTCTGCCTTTTTAACTATACTGTATGTGGCCCCTTTTATACTACATCCATTCCTTGTTTATTTATGCAAGTTAAAAAATAGTAATACATACAGAGCTTGGGCAATTTGGTGGAAAGACAAATTGACTCCTCTAAGCTGCCCCATAGCAAATCATATTATGCACTAATGGCCACAAAGAGCAGGTCAACAGCACTTCAAAGGACATGTTACTGTAAAGTAAAGTTTGTTCAATACACTTCCAAAGAAAGATCAGAATGTTGGTCTCTGTTTCTCCTCCTTAGTCGTCCTTACTGTATTTATTTTTATATGGTGTCTTCTTTCCTTGCAATGCTTTTTCAAACCAATCTCTCCTTTCCAAATGTCCCAGGGTCTCTCACTTAATACGATTGCTGGAAACTGTCTCTTTTCTCTGCTACTCTATAGCCTTGATCCTTCCCTCCGTCTCGCTCTCCACTGACAGGTGTGTTCTCAGTGTGATGCCAGGTTTTGCTGTACCATGCTGTGCAATGCCAGTTCACCGGCAGGGGGGCAACAGCCTTCATTCATGCTTCACTACTCTGACAGGGGCTCACTCTCTTACTGGTTTTTCCTTTTCTTTTTCTTGTTCTGCCTTTAAGTCTTTAGTCTTTTTTGAAGTCACCATTAGTAAATCACCAATTTGAATGCCACTGACAACCTTTCATGACATTATTTTATGTTTATCTCTATTGTCAATCCCTTGTGACTTTCAGTGCATACCTGCAAACTAATTTGAGCCACCAAATCAATGCATGGTTTCTAAGTTACTCTCAGTGGGAAGTGGTATAGCCTGATATAGCCAATGTTACTGTCGATCCTGGAATTAATCGACATGCATGTGTGTTGTGTGTGGTTTGCAGTTGAGCTAAAAGGAGAAATTCTCCTCCTGTGAATGTCAGCGGTATCTATCCTGCTTCTGACTGGGGGTGACCGGGGAGGATCATGAATTTGGTCAAGGAATTGGAGAGAAAAGGAAGGAATGGGAAAGGGAAAGGAGGAGAGGGAGTCTGTATACATACAGACATAAACTGTAAAAAGAAGAGATAAACACAGGAGCATAAAGAGTAAAAGTAAAAGAGCTCAGGTGTTAAATGCTTGATATGCTCACGTAAACCTCTGCTTGAGGTATATGTGAGCATATGAAGGGTGGGTGCAACTCTAGTTGTGCAGGTTACATACGATTTGCCTTCAGTCATCCTTTTCCTGACAAGTCTCTCCCCATGCAGAAAAAAGAAAATAAAAGAGGAGACTGATACGTACAAAGAAACAGGAATAAAATGTAAGGAAAAAGCCCAATAGAGAGACAACAAAAGGAGGGCTGAAGTGACAGAGACAGTGCAATGAGTAAATACTGTAGGTCGAGTGACCCTGAATGTGTGTTTTCAGTAATGGACCTGCTGATGGAGAGGGTCTATTTTTGTCTTATCCAGGCCCAGACCTTGGTATGAGCATCCACACCCTGCCCTCATTTACTCCACAGTCATGTCAGATCACACACACACACACACACACAAACACACACACACACACACACACACACACACACACACACACACACACCTAATAGGCCCCGCTGACTGGCTCAGCAGTGTCTTCTTTTCCATTTTACAAAACCCCTCTCATTGTTTTCCCTAAACTTTACATTGGTTTCCTGCCATTTGTTTCCTCTTAATAATATTTCACTTCAGCTCATTTCAGCAGCAGTTTTCTGTCGACCTTCCATTTGCATTCTTTTCTTTGCACTTCCAATCTATTGCTTTAAATGAACATGTCCTTATTGTTTTCAGGGAAGGCATGCTTTGAATGCTTTACTTTTTCTCCTTCTGTTTATTGGTATGTGTAATGAAACATATATAGCTACATATATACATTATATATAACTGTACCACAGACAGCCAACCTTCCATTTACATAAATCAACTGTATAACCTAAGATAAACCCCAGTTCCCAGGTGGACATAAAGTGAAAGACAGACTCCTTGGCATTCTTCCATATCAGAAATATCTCAGGAAATGATGAGGTGCTTTAGATCACTTCAATCACTTAGATTCAGAATTTAGTGATGTGCTTGTGTGTGTGTGTGTGTGTGTGTGTGTGTGTGTGTGTGTGTGTGTGTGTGTGTGTGTGTGTGTGTGTGTCATCAAGTTAGGTAGGAATCAGCCAAAGACACTACTCTGTCACTCATGAGGGGTACTGGAGTGAAATGGTTCACTGAAGGTGTGTGTATGTGTGTAACAGGTGTCAATGCATGATAGTGTATCTGTTTTTCTGCTGATTTCATACTAAGTCGCACACACACACACACACACACACACACACACACACACACACAATCTCACATACACTTTCCACATGGCTTAGTTTACATGATTAAACAATCTGTTGCCTGGTGGTAAACATACTCATCTCCAACGATGTGCTTGTCAACTTGTTAGCTTAATAAACACCATTTTAAATGGTTTGCCTTTATCGTTGACTACAAATTATACAACTGTTTTGGTATCAGAACATCCCAAAAAGATCCAGATACATTAATAGAACGGCCTAATTTCTCTCAGAATAGGAACACAAAGATCTGATCACACAGGCTTGTGGGATAAAGGATTACATGTAACAGAGTTACGTAATCAGGATACAAAAAAGGTAACTTTAATCCATTAAAATCTTGGTTTCCCCATTTCCTTCTTTAAGGTCACATTGTTCTGTTGTCTTATAGAATACCTAAAAGCCATCTTTTTGATATTTATTTTCTTCTTCCTTTCTTTATTTATCAAGATTATCAAGTTATGGTACTTGAATATTGTGACTGTGGTAGATTACATTTTTAAAGTGATCCTCTCAACCCTGAAATTATAATAGATACTGTGTCCATTAAAAGACATGTCGACATGTTCATTTGATGTCTGATTATCTTTACATGTGACAGTTCCATGTGTTCAGCAAGGTAATCAGTGCAGCAGCACATAGCTCTCCCTGTTTCAAATGGCAGACCTCACTTGTTCTTTCTGCTTTGTCGAGACAAGACCAATTAAGCAAGTAAAGATTTTTTTTAATGTATTTTACTGTACTGATGGAGCACTGAACATACTGTTGTAAAGCATTGTATCTGGTAGTACGGTTGAAAAAGAATGCATTTCTTTATGTCTTGTTTGAGTAGTTCAGAGAGAACATTGAAGGCAAAGGTTTAAATTTATGTTAAATGGTGCAAAATAAATAAATAAAACAAAACCAAAAATATGAAAAAACAAATAACACAGGTGCTCCAAAGTCAACTGCCGAAAATTAAAAATTGATTGTGATTCTGTGGTTCACCAGCTAATGAATTTTAATAGACTAGTTTACAAACTCACAAAAACAAAGTCTGCTGAAAACTTTGGGTGGTCCACCTACCTTTCTCCTCCAAACTGATAAATAAAGGTCTATTATGTAATTAAATGTGACATCTTAGGTGCTGCTGGATTTCTCCTCAAGTCACTCATTTTGTTGTGTCCTGACCAAGGCATGACCCCACCCTTGTTTACCGCACCTGTCAGCACGCCTTTGGTTTGATGCACTAGCTTTAGGCGATGTTCGCTAGTTCACTACTGGGTCAGGTACTTCTCTTACACGTGCTGTATATATCACTTACAGCTCAATACTGATCCATTAAAACACTAGTTAGGTGAACAGCTTTTGGATCTCCTTCTTTGTGTGTGTGTCTGTGTGTGTTTTTTTGTATTTTTAACTGGAAAGGAGAAAATGGTTAAAAGAGACAGGAGCATGTAAAAGAATGAAAAGGTGTGAAAAAGAAAAGTTGGTGAGTACGTGCATGTGTACTGTATATATACTGAAAACTATAACGTGATAATATACTGTGTGTATGTGAGAGTGAGAAAGAGAGAGAGCATATTCATACGGGATCATTTGCATTTCCTAATTCACTCACTTGCCTTCAATGATGCATTTATCCCACAGGCTTGGTTGAGTACTTCCAGGGATTTACTTCAGTGACTACACTATATAACGTCTCTCATATCTAATTTCCCCTCTTGTTCCCTCTTGACTCTCTTTCTTTAACGAAATTGTCATGAAAGTCCTCAAATGAAGTAGAGAAACAGGATGAATATCTGTATGTTACACAGATTCTATTCCATAACAAACTAACTTACCTCTTCTCTTCTCCCTATCCCAGCTCTTCAGGTATGACCCTGCCTCCTCCTTACTACCAGCCAGAGGAGGACGATGAACGCCCCTTTATCTGCTCCCTGGCATCTGATAATGGTATCATGTCGTGTTCTGATGTGCCGGCGAGGCGTGAAGGAGGACGCACATGCTGCTTGGACAAGGAAGATGCACTCCACAGACAGGCTTTGGGCCTGAGTCCTGAGCCACTGACCAACGGTAGTGGTCCTGGCGAAGCAATGGGTCTGTGCATCAACTGGAACCAGTATTATACTCGATGCCACACAGGAAATAGTAACCCCCACAAAGGTGCCATCAACTTTGACAACATTGTCTACGCCTGGATCGTAATCTTTCAGGTATGTTCCGTGTTAGTTTGAATGCTGGTGAGGTAACAGTGATGTTGGACTGGAAGTTATTATAGTTAGCTATGTATCATCAAGATTAAATGAATTCAGAACAATTAGTTGAATTTAAACGTGATATGAACGATTCTGCACTACTGGGTAAATATTTGGTTGAGCATTTTGCAGTTCTTTTTTGCTGAGTGCATGACGGTTGTTAATGTTGTTAGCTTGTAAATGTTTATTGCTAAACACTCAGCAGATTCTCTCCTCTTAGGTGATCACTCTGGAGGGCTGGGTGGAGATCATGTATTACGTAATGGATGCCCATTCCTTCTACAACTTCATCTACTTCATTTTACTCATCATTGTAAGTAAAATTCAGTGATACATTTTACTATATTAGTACTCTATATCCCTACCAACTGACACATCTAGTGTACAATGTATTCTGATGATGAAAAAATGAGTATAACTATAGTTAAATAAAAATCCCTCATAATATTTTCTCTTAACATTTCGTATACATTTGGACGTCTGTGGTCTCCTGCCATCAATAAATTGAATAAGGATATTTCCTGAGTAGTGGATTGAATTGTTAATAGACTTGTGGAAATCAATAGTAGCATAAAGGACTGTCTACAATCAATGTCTGGAGGAAGAAGGGAGAGAGGGAAGGAGGTGGATGTTACGTAAATGCATCTTTGGTGGCGAGTAGGAAAAAAGGGAGAGAAGAGGAGGACGACTGAAAAAGAAAATATGTGTCCAAAATAAAAAAGTACTATATGAACACCGTGTGCAAGAGCTAGATCGGCTCTTTAAGCGGAGTGCCAGATGGTGGCACAGTGAAGGTTGTTTAATTTTACATTCACATTCCATTTACTGTCTGTAAAACTGCATTCAGTCACTCTGTATATAGTGAAAACAGACACGTCAGAGTAAATGAATGAATGGAGGGTGAGTAGGAAGAAGAGAAGAGAATGAGATGAAACAGTGAAGAATACAAACACACCAATCAGTGGCAAGCTCACTGTACAATTTCCACACTACACTGCAAGACCTGCCCTGCAGAACAGTTTTTCCCACCAGCTTCTTTCTCCCAACACTGACGTTATTAGGCTGAGGTCATTATTGGCATTGTTACAGCAATTGTAAATTCCATCCCCTTTTTGGCGCATCTGACCTGCGGTTTCCATTGCCAGTCTAAGCACCTTTTGGCACGCAAAGACAGATTACTTTTGCCTGGTTTATGCTGCTACATTCATCACAATCTCATGCCATGTGGACTGTATAGCCCCGTTCTACAATAATAGTAATGTCCAGCACAGGACACATACATTGAACTGCTGGTTACATCCTCAAATTCAATTCATATTTTTAATGTTCCAATAGAACTACCACAGTTGGGCAAAACAAAACAAGCTAATGTGTATTAAAGTTCATTATACAGAGCTCAATGGCTTGCACAGCACCTAACAACCAGGTAAACACACAGCTCCCTTTGGGGACATGATTGATTGACGTGCCTCTTTTGAACTTCCTTGCAAGGCCCCAGTCTGTTTGGCAACTTGTAGTCAGAGGTCCTAAGGGATGCCTTGGAAGTGTTGCTGACACTATGAGAAGTTTCGGTCAGGCACTTCCATGGGCCCCAAAGGTGTTGTTCACACAGCCAGTGTCACCTTAACTCTCTCATTCTTTCTTCTTGCAGTTCTTTCTCTTATTCTCTTTTACTTATCAATTATCTTTGTGTGTGTGTCTGTGTTGTGCTGTTATGAAGTTGCAGTACCCTGTGCTTTGAAGCTTGTTAGTTGATCCTGTAATCATTAAGTGTGTGCTCTCAGATACAAAGCCAAGACAAAGAGAAGTTTGACCTCCACAGTGTCAAACAGTGTCATCTCTATCGGCTTGATACTTGATATACTGTCAAGTGTGCAGCCTAAGTGTCTATATTGGTGTCACATTGAAGAGTGTGAGTAAATGGATTAAAGTGACTTAAAGCTAAGTGCTACCAAGAGGGCAATTATTAGGAGGTTGTGTGTGTGTGTGTGTGTGTGTGTGTGTGTCTGTGTTGTGTGTTTCAGAGAAAGAGAGAAAATACAAATATACATAAATGTATGTGACAGCTGCCACATGGAAGCACACAGACACATGCAATCAGTTGTAAGCTAAGCCTGCCATCTTAATTTGTGTGTGTGAGTGTGTGATAACACATGCTTTTGTCGATGTGGATGTTTGTGTGTGTCTGTGTGTGTGTGTGTGTGTGTGTGTGTGTGTGTGTATGTGCATGCATAATGCAGTGATCATCTGAATGCGTGATATTGGACTGCCCTCCCTGATTATGCGCAAAGCTGTCTACTGATCAGAATCACAGAATAGACACACACACACACACACACACACACACACACACACACAAACATACACACAGATGCAAGCCTGGAGGGAAATCAAAGCCCCACACACCTGCAGACCTGCTTTGACCCACAGGCCACAGATGGGCATCTCTCCTCCCTCCACACACACACACACACACACACACACACACACACCTCCCTTCTATGTTTCCCCTCTCTTTTTCTCTCTGTGAATATCTCTGGACTCTGTCTTCTTTTTCATTTCTCCCAGCTTCCCCAGTCTCTCCTTCACCTCCCCCTGCATCTTTGATCACTACGGATGAAAGTCTATAGGTGGAAGGTTATCAAGTTTGGATGTTATCTGTGATATCTAAGGTTTATGGTGTGTTCCTGCTCCACATGTTTTGGCCTTGTGGGTGTGCCTGTTTGTGTTCTCAATATGTGTCTGTCTGAGAGCTTTGTCCAAGGAGAAACAGGGAAACATGTTCAGATTTGTAATGAACAAAACCGAGACTCTGCTACAAGCTGCTTTATCCATCCAGCAGTCTGGTTTTTGAGTTGTTCAGCATCAGCTTATATTGATCTAATCATTGTTCCGTAACCAGCTTGGAGTAGTCCAATAAAAGCCATTTCAGCAGTCCTGAAGTGATTCCCATTACTGCCACTAAAAGGTTCAGCCAACACATACCATTCACAGTGTACCCCATCTTCTCTCTGCAACTATCCCTCCATCCCTCACTTTGACTCATGATAAGAAAATGAAGCCTCTTTTGTGAAAAACAGTATAAAAAAATAGACTACTGGGTAAAGAAATGTTTGTGAGAAGCATTGTGGAGCAATGGCCTGAGAAAAGTAAAGAAAGATATTGAGTTGGAGTAGGGGCGAGAGGGAATGTTAAGTCAGAGTCAGAGAATAAAAAGAAGAAAGGGAGAAAGACAGACAGACGCTGAACTGTGCTTTGGGCATGTGTTGGCTCTGTCTGTCTGCTCCAATCAGCCTCGGTTTGGTAGGAAGCCAGCCCTCAGAGACCTTTAGCATGTGTGCTAACATTTCTACAGGGGGATTGGCACACATTAGAATCAGCAAGTGTGTGAACTTGATGTAAAAACAAGTCTGTATTTACCATTGGAAACTCCCAATTCTTCCCATATTTCATGTTTCTTAAATGAGCAACATCTGCTTTAGCCATAGGCTGATTATTTTCTTATTGTTTTAGTGTTGCTTCTCAGTTAAGCTTGTTAAATTTAGATTTCTACTTGAACTCTTTGCCCCCTTTCAGTTCTACAGCACTGTTCATCCTTTCAGCTAGATTTTAGTTCATACATAGTCTAACTTTCTCTCTGCTGTTCCACATCTATCCAGATTGGTTCATTCTTCATGATCAACCTGTGCCTGGTGGTTATCGCCACCCAGTTCTCAGAGACCAAACAGCGAGAACACCAGCTGATGCAGGAGCAAAGGGCGCAGTGTCTGTCTTCCTCCACCCTGGCCAGCATGGCTGAGCCGGGAGATTGCTACGAGGAGATCTTCCAGCTGGTCTGCCATGTCCTCCGCAAGGCTAAGAGGAGATCGGCGGCTCTCTACTACACACTGAGGGGCAAGCCCCCACCAGCTGGTGGAGGCAGAGGTAACAGGCGCGGTGGAGGAAATGTGAACAGAGAACGGCATCATTCCAGGCACCCAAGATGTGAGTAGGAGGGCCTCAGCAAATGACATGTGAATATGTCTTATTGATGTAACTTTTGACAGTTAAATGAAATAGGGTCTGGCTACTAACAAGTTTTGGCTGCGTTTCTGTGCTGTTTATTTTTGACAAGCTTATACTGTTTTATTCAAAATACATTCCTGAAACTTTTGCAACAACCGCAAATATTTCATTGCAAAATAACATCTGAAGTGCAGCCATAGTTTCATATTCTTTCTATTGTCATCTCTGCATCTGTCTAGCATCCCACTGTCCGCACCAAAACAAGCAAGATCACGGCTCTCAGCCGCTAGCTAACTCCATCAGTCTGGCTGTCCCTCAGAACCCTGAGGACTGCCCTATATGTGCATTGTCACTAAAGGAGGGGGTAAGGGCTGTGGGAGACTCCACCAACGGGGATGAAGATGAGGAGGATTCAATGAAAGAGACGGGGAAGGAGGAGAACCATCTAGAGGAGAGGGGAGAGGGAGAGAAGAAGAAGAAGAGGAGTTGCTTTGGACACTGTAGAGACATTTGGAATGATATGAGGAGGAAACTTTGGGGCATTGTGGAGAGCAAGTACTTCAGCAGGGGCATTATGATTGCTATTCTCATCAACACCATCAGTATGGGCATTGAGCATCATAACCAGGTAAGATAATAGTCACTGCTGTCACATACACTTTGTTACTGCACTGACAATAATGCCATTTTATAAAACCAAATTCAACTGAGGCCTTGAAACTACTTTTTTTATTTATTCTTTGACTTTGAGTGATTTCGAGTCATATTTGAGTCTCTTTGTTTTCACGACTGTCTTCATTTGCTTTTTCTGCTATGTATTGTAAACTCTGCACGTGGTCCATGTGTTTCACATCAAAGCATTGCAGCTATTCAGAGGCCATAATCTCCTTGTTTCAGTGTGAATTTTCTGCAGTGTTGTGTTTCATTGACAGCAGGCTAATAAGAGAAGAAAAGTAAAGTAAAATTGATCACCATCAAATAATGAAAGTATGTTTGTTCAAAAGAGAAAGAAAGAGCATTTTTTACCACTTATTATTCCAGTTCTTTTTGGGGGCCTGGGTTTTATTTTATGATTACCTTGTTTCTTTGAGATCTGATATAATTGTAATTTGCCAACAAAGATAGTGAATGTTTAGGAAATTGGCTGTCATTGTAGGAATATGCATTGCCTTTAACCCTTTTAGACTGATAGTGTCAATAGAGTGAGTGTGTTAGCGTAATAATTTCTTGCTCCCCTCTCCCTCCCACAAATCACCACATGCTCGGCAGATAAACCGCTATCACTGCTGATGAAGCATTGCTGCTAGAAATATCATAATAGCAAATGACATTCAGAAGGATGAGTGTGGGAGTGGAGCATCACTGCCGTACAGTTTCCTGACAGAGGTGTAAACATTTAGCCTAGCGTTAGACAAAACCGAGCTGGCTTTTAACATTGGCCAGGCTCCTCGGAGGCAGACAAGGCAGGTGTCTGAGTGCAAGAGTGGGAGAAGCCTGCCAAGAGTACACATGCACGCGTGCACACAAACACAAACTCATATAAGCGCACGCACATTCAATACACACCCATTTTGTGTCCTGTGTGTGCATGCACATAAACAAATATCTTTTCATATTTGTGCACGTGCACTAGCAGAAACACATGCAGGCACACACTCACAAGCTGTTACATAAACAGCTTTTTCTTTCATTTCTCTCTCTCAACCAATGCCATTCTGTTTTATCTCTCCACTTTTTCTCTTTTTCTCCTTCCCTTACTTCTACCTCTCTTCCCCTACTTTCTCGATAAATCCCTCCGCGCACCTTCCCTTTGCACGTTCCTTCCCCAACTCGGTCCTTTTGTTCCTTGCCGTCTCCCCTTCTTCCGTCCTTCCCGTCTTACCCCAAGTGTCTCAGCTACTCTCTGACTCTCATTTCCCTCCCTCAGTTTCACCCTCCGTCTCCCCACTTCTCTTTGTCTCTCTCATCCACCCACTCACTCTTTGACAGCGTACAGAGTAGTTGCTTTCTCTCATCTCTGAAGACTCTAAAAATAAACGAGGGTTGTGGGGGGAAGGAAGAGAAGGAGACGAGCGAGAGGGGAAGAGCAAGGCAGACGGCGGTTACACAGCAGTTTTCAGCTCAATTCCCTGTGTGATTCTGCGTGTGAGTGAGCGTGTGTGTGTCAAAGCGGGCATGTATGCAGAAAAACACATACACATTTGCATTCACACACTCGCAGACGCTTTGTCTGTCTGTCTGTCTCTTGAGTCTTTCTCCCTTCTCAATTTCCACAAGCTGACACAGACGCAGTGATACAAGTGCATGTTTTTGCTTGGCGGTAGAAAAGTCTTACCTCATGCAATTTTGTTCTAAAACAGGAACTCTGGAACTGCTGTGCTTCTCTTCGAAAAACACAGGGCTGCTGTACTTGTACACACACACACACACACACACACACACACATCCTGCTTAAGGGAAATGTTCACATCATGTATGTGGTTTCAAATTAAAAACGTGTATTGCTCCGTGTAAGTTTTTGATTGTGATCTTTGACTTTGTATCAAAGACTTTTTTTTTGTATTTATCTTGGAATTTTACTCATACGATTCATCAAATGATGTTGCACGTTAGCAAGCTTAGAGATGAGCTGCCTATTTGCATTCATGCTATGCGTGTTCATGTGTGGACATATCTATGTGGAAAAGAAATTGGCACACTGGAATTCAGGCTTGGAAGCTGCAGGTCATTCATTCATATTCAAGACAACATTCACATGCCAACTGGGAGCACATTTAAAGAGAAACAGGAAGAGGATATTTGTAGGGGTGGATAAAATATGAAATATTATTCGGGAGATGTGAAATTAGGGAACAGGTGGAGAGTAAGAAGAAGAAGTAAATCATAAAGGGGAGAGAAAGCAAGTAGAGGGAGGAGGGATGGGATTTTATTTGAGTTAAACTGTGGTGTCAAGGGCCGTGATGGTTTTGTCAATAGCAATAAATCTCATATCTTGTGTTTGTACGTGTGACTAGTGAGTGACATAGGTCAAGGTTAGAGCTAACTGCTGAGGGGCAAAACATGTTTGTGTCTGTGAATGGGTACATTTAACCCTACATTCCCTACAATTCATCTAGTAGTATCTCTTTTAATATTTGTTTCATGACATTTGAATGTTTTAGGGGTGATGAGTAATGATATCACCTAAACCACTCTGCAGTCCGCTGAGTGGTCCAGCTTCCAGCTTCCAGCTACAGCTACAGTGCAGAGCTCGAATGAGTCTCAGTAGATGTTTTCCAGACGATAACAGTGTAGTCAAAATTGAGCTCATGAGATTTAGACTGCTTTTGTGGTCTTATTTACTTTCCTTCCATCCCTTTTATCACTCTTACTCTTTCTCAACCCCTAAACGAGTATTTTTCTCACTTCTCCTCTTCTCTCCTCCATCATGTCATCATCTATTCCGTAACAATCCCTCTGCTCGCTCCTCTTTTTCTCTTCTCCTTCAGCTGGTTTCTTCCTCTACCGTTCTCCCTCCTCTGATCGACAGGAGGATATTGATTGGGAAGAGATGGGTCTGCCTGATAATGAGACTCAGAAAGAAAAAAGAAAAAGGGATGGAGAACGAGGGGGATGAGATAGATTGGGAGAAAAGGCGGATTAGAGGAGGGGGAGGGCTGAGAGTGTGTTTTTCTCTGACATGGTTTGCTAACTTTGGCAGGGCTAGCTGGCTATTTCTCCGCTGGCTTTGAAACTGAAAATCACAGGGGGTATCAGAGAAAGCATCTGATCCATATCGTGCATAACACACATTCACTCAAACACACACAGTATACTTGCATGAAGTGGGCCTGCTTGTGCACACGCAAATACAAATGGAAATAAACCTGGGATTGACTGGAGCATGTGCGTGTGTTTGTTTCTTGTGTGTGCAGTTTGTGTATGTATTTGTTCCTTTGCCAATTCCAGATAACATGCTCTCCTATTCAGCCAGCGTTTGACACCATGTGTTACACAGACAATACACACTCTCCATCCCCTTTCTCATTTCCCTGTGTATTGTTGCTGATGCACTGTGAGTTTTGTGTTTTCACATAAACAGCTGTGCTAAAAAACACATTTTGTTTCCCCATTCATTTTTCAGTATCTGCCCTTCCTCTCTTTTTGTTGCCTATCTAAGATAAGCTGTGTGTTTTAATTTTATTTGCCAGGTAAGAGAGAATTCTCTTTTCAAGTGACTGACAGTTTGAGTGACAGCCTTTTCAACACAGGGGGAGAGATGTGATGCGTACACAACTATTTTCTTCTCAGTGTCTCCTGCATCTTTTGTTGCAGCAGCACTGATTGCAAAGCAGTGGTTTAATATCAGCTGTGTTTTTATGTCTTTGTTTGTACCTGCCTCTCTGTGTCTATCACTGCTCTGTTTTTAACTTAAAAAATAACTCAAACCCCTCTTTTGCCCAGCCCCTCTTTTTCACCACTTTGTTTACACGCACTTCCGCAGCTTGCTATTTTATTAATGTATTTCTGTTTCTGTGTTACTTCCACCCCCACCTGCCTCCACCTAGCCCGACGAGCTGACCAATGTCCTGGAGATCTGCAACATTGTCTTCACCAGCATGTTTACCCTGGAGATGATCCTAAAGCTGACTGCTTTTGGCTTCTTTGAGTACCTGAGGAACCCCTACAACATCTTTGATGGCATCATTGTCATCATCAGGTCTGCAGTCTACAAAATGATTTGCTGATTGTTACGTTGTCACTTAGTCGGAAAGTTGAGTATCCTGAAACTTAACAAATGAGATATGTATATATTAAAGTTACAAACTCTGTCCCAAAACCAGAGAATCCAGAGCCACACTCTGCTGGAAAATAATGAGAGTTTTTGTGCAAACATGTAATGATTGTCCAAACACTTTACATCTAATTGCGTTTCAAGACATACCTTCATCTCCAGAAAGCAGCCAAACCTGCTGTTTCCGATCAAATTTTCCATCTTTTTTGGTGTATTCCCTATGGAGCTTTGCATTCAACTGGACTACTTATTTTATGTGACAAATATTTAATATCGGGACTGTCTGCATGGGGATAAAATATGTCAAATGCAGCCGTATTCCTTATCACACTAGTGTAGATTATGTACGGTCATATACTCGGAAAAATTTGCAGTTTTTATTTAGTATAAAAGACTGACTTATCCTCTTATCTGATCTTCTCTTATCCGCTGTTTCCCTCCTTTCTATTCTATTTTGTATTTATTTTTAAAATGCTTCTCCCCACATTCCCCAATTATAACAATATGCTTTTTTCCCTCTACCAATTTATTTTATTCTAACTTCTCTACATCTTCCAACTTTTCACTGTATCTCTCTCTCTCTCTCTCTCTCTCTCTCTCTCTCTCTCTCTCTCTCTCTCTCTCTTTCTTTCTGTGAAACACACTTGCACACATCCACCCAACGCAACTCATACTACAGTGTGTGTGAGATCATCGGCCAGGCAGACGGCGGTCTGTCAGTGCTGAGGACATTCAGGCTGCTGAGGGTCATTAAGCTGGTGAGGTTCATGCCTGCACTGAGGCGGCAGCTGGTGGTGCTGATGAAGACGATGGACAACGTGGCCACTTTCTGTATGCTGCTCATGCTCTTCATCTTCATCTTCAGGTAACAGTGGCGCACAGGGCCATGTCTTTATAGATACAGCGAGGGCAAGAAAAAGTAAATGAAATCTTGTGGAGCAGGAGAAAAGAGATTGTGGTGTATAAGTACGTGTATGTCTGTGTGTATACACAAACTAAATGTCAAGTCATCACTAATTTGTCTGAAGGTATAGTCTGTATAGTGTACGATACGCTCTATCCATCTAAAAATGGGAAAAAAATGTAAGGAATGGCAGCTGAGGAGGGCTCTTCTAGGGCAGAAGGGCAATAAATGCAATAGATGTTGTGGGTACAGAATAGCCCATCAATTTTTATGTATGTTTATATGTGCAGTATTGTGTTGGAGTCGTTAACAAACAGGTTGTTTTGTAGGCCCTTCCAAATCTTATATAAAAATAAAAGCCTTGATAGAAGAAAAAATAAGACATAATATGGTGGCTAAGCATGGTGCAGACAGCCTTAGCCTAAGGCCTGAACAGTTTGTGCAAAATAATAGGATTAACTTCCAATTATTGGAGTTCCGCCCCATTTTCCCAAACCGTGTCTTGGTTGTGTCGAATCTTTTCTATTTGACCTGTCTCCTTCTCCAGCATTATTTCTGGTTTGAAAGTTGGTATGAAAGCATGAAAATACCTTAACTTGTCTGTCTGTCGGTCGGTCGGTCTGTCGGTCTGTCTGTCTGTCAGCAGTATATTTCACATCAAACTTTTTAATTTCCGCTAAATCAGACAGATAGGCCTTGGGCCAAAGAACAACAATAACAATAAACCACAACTATTAGACTGAGAGAATGATCTCAAATTCCAACATCATACTGATAAATTGGTTTAACTGAAAGTTGAGATGAATATCTTTTGTTTTGACTTTAAAAATTGTTAGCAGTAGCTTATGCCATAAGAAATACTTTGCCTTTACATGAATACAGTAAATACTCATTCTACTAGGTCAACTGTACAATTGAAGTAATGGAGAGCATGACTAAATTATTCTCTAAGTTACATGTACAAATTAAAAATGTAAGACAGCATTCACACTGGACACACACTGGAATAAATATTGGGATGCAGATGCAGAAAAATGTAATTTACAGTAACATAATCATTCAGCTGAAACTCCCCTCTTGTTAACCTTCCCCAGCACACACACAGTCACACACACACACACACACACACACACACACGCATCCTCTTCTGTTTTCCCTCCAATTCCACCTCCGTGGGCGTTAACCGAAAATGAAGATGGCATTAGCAGAATTATTGTTATTTGAATAATTTATCATAATTGTTGCAAAAAGTTTTTACTTGATAGATACGAGTTCCACAGCAGCGTAATGCTATTAGCACAGTCCTGCTTGTGTCTTTTTGTGTGCACGTTTGTGACTTTGTGTGTGTGTGTATGTGTACCTGTCAACCAGCTTCTTCATCCCTGCAGCACAGCAATCAAGCATAACTGTGCCTGTGTAGATCTAGCCACTATAGCTTTTAGTGAGAAGTTAATGTACAGTACCACTCAGCTAATACAAAGCTTTTAAAACCTCTCCATAAATGAATGAATGAGAATATAGACAGCACTGTCTGGGGTCACAGTCTTGTGAGGACAGTATGTTTTCAAGATGATGATTAAGTCTAAGGTTTAGAACATAGTTATTTAAGACACATGGTTTGTTTATTGATGCTCAATAAGCTTTAATCTTCTCTTTTATTCTAATTTGATGATAATTCTGTTACTTTATGAATTTTAATTTTGAGTACACATACCTGGCCATAACCAATAATTCTTCACATTGTCTGCAGGTGTCATAAACCATCTAGTCCATGACATACCTAAAAGTACTCCTTGAGTGTACAGTGCAACAACATACATGTAATACATATATTGTAATATTAAATAATAATAAAGGATTTCTAACATTTCAGGAGGCAGGGAGGGAAAATAAAATCAGACAATTAAACTCATACAGAAGTGAGGTAGAATAAAACAACCCTATTAATGAAGATAAATACTAACAATGAAACAGAAGACATACTGCAAATTAACTGCACTGAGGCAAATGAGTTTAAACAATTAAAATGATATAGAATTAAAAGAATGAAATACCCATCAGTCATATATGATAAAACAACAATAATAATTCAATTGATGAGACGTGGTGGAAATTTAACGGTGTGCCAAAATAAATAAGTTATTTAAGATACGTCGCTGATTCAACAAGCCTTAGACCCTCGGGCAGGGATTTCCAGAGCATAGGGGCCTATCCTCTTATTCTATATGACAGCAGTGTGGCTGAATTATTGGAGAAATCCCTTCTTGTGTTGCAGTATCCTGGGCATGCATATCTTTGGTTGTAAGTTCAGTCTAAAGACAGAGGCAGGGGACACAGTGCCGGACCGGAAGAACTTTGACTCCCTGCTCTGGGCCATCGTCACTGTCTTTCAGGTAAGAAAAGTTTAAACAGACACACTTTCAATTCAGTTTTACAACTTGAGGAAATGTGTTGCTGTTGAGCATGTGCTTATTTTTTGTAGCTGTATGTACATTTGTGTGTGTGCTGCGTGTGTGTTCCTGTTCTACTCTGTGTGTATGCTTTCTGTAGATCCTTACCCAGGAGGACTGGAACATGGTGCTGTACAATGGCATGGCATCCACCTCGCCCTGTGCTGCTCTCTACTTCGTAGCTCTCATGACATTTGGGAACTACGTGCTCTTTAATTTACTGGTTGCCATCTTGGTTGAGGGTTTTCAAGCTGAGGTAAGACATCTTGGTTCAGGGCAGTATTCACTTTACAAAACCAAATGTAATATGGGACGAGCTAGCCAATCATGTCTGTGGGTTTTCTTCTTTTTGATTTGGTTTGTTTGAGTTTTTTGCTTTAAGCTGAGAACTTGGTGATTGTGAAAAAAATGTTGAATTGTTCAACTGTTTTGGGTTGAAACATTACAACTGAACGTCAGATGTTTGTGTGTTAGAGCGAGTTATGACGAGTGTAAGGAAACCAGTACATTAGATAGTAAAGGGCAAAAAGGAGACGACAAATGTTTGCCGGTTCCTTTTAAAATGAGAATGTGATTGATCATTATTTCAACACATCTCTTCCTTGCCTTGCCCCCGCCTCACTCTCCTTTTATCTCTGTGTCTCTCTTCCTTTCTCCCCCATTCGTTCTCTCTCACTCTCCCACTGTCCCTGATGCAGGGCGATGCAAACCGCTCTTACTCGGACGATGACAGGTCTTCCTGTAATTTTGAGGAGAACGATAAGCAGAAAGACTCTCTGCATCTCTCAGGTATTAAAAGCGTCTAGAAGCTTTACAGCATTTTTTGGTTTAATGAAGCTTGATCTTAGCTCAGAAATTACAATACCATTTCACCCCTAATATAGGGTGCTGTCTGGAAACACCTAAAATTCTCCTTCCCAAACTAAAATGTCAGCTTTAAACTAACCACACTGTAAAACTGTGATTGTGATTGAGACATAATTTAACATTAAACCAATTTGAACTTAATTTCCAAACAAACAGTCTGTTTTTTATGTCTGAATTATAACAGAATTGCATCATATAATTATTATCTCAAACCATTGCCTACTTTTGTCTGGCAAAAGGGCACCATTATATATGTGCTCTAATGTCATAGTGTAACCAATCCTCTAGGCATTCAGCACTCCAGAAAAATAGCAACTGTTTAGTTGTGCCTTGGGCATCAAAAACGTTGCCTGTCGTCTAATTTCCACAACAAACATTGCAAAGCATCTTTTTCCAGTCTGAAATGTAAGCTGCACCTACTTTAAATAATGCATGCCTGATGCCACTCCATCCACTCGTGTTACCTCTTCTCCCTGTAGGCATAACAGAAGCGAACTCACCAAGAATCAACCAGAGCATCATGCAGTATGGAGTAGCATTTAGCAGCACATTAGTGAGGCCTCTGATGATGTCTGATCACAGTTCTCCTGAGCCCAAATGTACCTTAAATGTCAGCGTACCTGAAAAAAACACATTTGGAATGTTAATGGTTCCTTGAACACCTATTGCACCAAAAGATATGTTTGAGAATGGACAAACTACTGGAAGATATTCCTCTCATTACGTGCTCCTCTCTGGCTCCTCTAAGGTGATTTAGTGTAAATTAAACCCTCTGCCTCTCTGAGCTGGCCATAACATAATTTTAGGACATTTATGTTGTAAAGTGATGGAGAGTGCCAGGTTCTGTGTGCATGGCATCTTATCTCTCTTCCTCCCTTTGTCACCACCTCTTTCCCTACAGACCCAAAGATCTGTACACTAACCCCTAATGGACACCTAGACCTGCCCCCTGGTCTGTTTCCAGGAGAGAGGTTGACCTTTGCTCTTGGCTCCAGGAAGAACAGCGTAATTTCTCTTGGCAGGGCCAACCTGGAACAGAGGGCTTTGGTAAGTAGAAAGGACCGTAAAGAGAGAAGCTGAAAAAAATACATACATGTTTGTTAGTTCTTGACTGACTGACCAGATGTAATGTTTTGATATGACGAAACAGTGTGAAAGTAATGTTATAGTCTTCAAATAAAGGGTTTACATTGCCTTATTCATTTGCAGGACAATGATTTGCAACCAAGTTAATTTTTTCAACTTAGCACACGGTTTAACTAGCTAATTGTGATTGTATTTTATTTGATTAGCTGTGGCACTCTAAAACTTTAAGTATGGACTGCTCTCACTGAGGTAATGAGTAGCATATTATTACATTGCTTTTTGAGTGTGTGTGTGTGTGTGTGTGTGTGTGTGTGTGTGGTCACTGGATCAGCTCTGTTTATTTCTGTTAATAATCCAGACAGAGTTTGGCTCAGACTTGCAGGAGATAGAAGAAACCTCTCTCTCTCTTTCTCAGTATCCAGGTCGAAGTTACCACAACTGGGGCCGTCCTCTGCCTCCCCATCCTCAGGCCCTGTGGGCCCGTCGTTCCAGCTGGAACAGCTTGGGGGGATGTCGCCCCTGCTCCTCCTCATCTCCCTCCGCTAGTCCAGCCTTCAACCCCATCTCTGCAAGGCCCTTCTATGGCTACGGCCTGGGGGGTCTTGGTGGAGTGGTTGGTGGAAGCCTTCGTATCCGGGGTCCCCGTGCCTCTTCATCCCCGCATCGCCACCTACACCATGTCCACCCAGATGAGGAGGAGTCTCTCCTCTCTCCTCCTCCTGTCGCTCCACGATCTCTTCACCTTCCCCATCCTGCACTCTCAGGCCACTTTGTACCCAGGAGGGACCGCAGAGCTCTGTCCCTAGAGCTGCCCCACCTACTGCAAGTCCCAGGGCCCCCGCACCCTCCACTGCCGCCACACCACCCACTGCCCCCCGTGACGCTCCATGCTCACCACAGGAAGAAGAGCTTCTCTGGGGGGATGGTAATCAGTGGAGGTGGTGGCAGTGGACTTGACAGTCTGGGTGGCTTAGGAGGGGTAAACCAAGACTGTAATGGGAAGACTCCTCTGTCTCAGCTTCTCCAACCCCCTCCTAGACACCCGACTGAGCAGGCTGGAGGGGCAAACCCCCAGAGTCAGCTGATGGCTGACGTCTTCCCCCAGGTTAACACACGCAGCAAGGACCGGGAGGACCTGGATGATGACATTGACTATGTAAGTTAAGTGTGTGTGGGAGGGAGGGAATTAAACGGTAATAGCATTAGGAAAAGCCTGGTGAGTAAGTGAAGTAAGCTTATGCAATCATACAACTTTGCTATGATACACACTCCAATCCCACAGATGCAGATAAGCATCCCTAAGACAGTATGTAACAGAATCTGAAAAGAACAAAGAAACACAATCTAGCCTTGTGATTCTCAATAACCGAACCATTAGCTTTTGTGTTAAAGTACAAGATTTTATACATGCAATAATCTCCAGCTCTCTTGTGTAAGATTTTCAAGTACTTTGTATAAAGCCTGCACTCCCCATCACCTGGGCCTCATGGGAGTCCCATTGTTTTCATTGTAAACAAGTCTGTGTATGAGAGAAACAAGGTTAATTAGAAAGGACTATTTAGACAGCAGGGGAGAGAGATATACAGATGGTAATGTTGGAAGATGCTCCGAGCTGTTGCTATAGAAGTGTTTCACTTTCGTAAATAATTTAAATAGGGAGTCTAAACAGGCAGTTTCTCTTTGCAATTCTGCATGTCTTTTTATGCTTATAGCATGATTATATTGTGTGTGTGCCATCATGTGTACTGATATGTCTGTGTTTGTTTCAGAGCTTGTGCTTCCGGATACAGAGGATGTTAGAAGTGTACAGACCGGACTGGTGTGAGACCAGAGAGGACTGGTCTGTCTTCCTATTCTCCCCACAGAACAAGTGAGTCACCTTTATCCCACCACTTCCTCTTTTTCCATTTTGCAATCAAATCTGTTGGATCCAGTGCATTTAGTGATGGAGCGGCTGTCAGCATCAAAGTGTGATGACTCGCCAAAATCTCAAGAGTTTCCCATATGAACATTATCGGCTGGCTACAGGGCATATCTTGTCAAACAATACCAAGGATGGGTGGGCAGATTTTTTTCCCCACCTCATCAATAGGAAGGACAAGTTGCCAAGCTTCCTGAGAGAAGAATAACATTGAGTATTGATTGCCACCTTCTAAATAACAAAGGGATATTTTCTACCCTCTCCCCTCCTGTTAGACAGCCAGAAACAGGTCCTCGGGGGGTACATGTAATACCATAAGCAATTCATTAAATTCTGCATTAACTTGTACGGATGTTGTGTTACAGTCTGCAGAGGAAGGGTTTGAATAGACACGGTTGAGTTTATTAATAAAAGGCATTTAAATGTCTCCATGCTTGTTCAAAAATACTTTAGAATAAGTACAGCCTCTCCTATTCAATCTGTTTCTCTTCATCATTCCAATAAACACTGCAGCAAAGATATTTAATTGCTTTTTGGCAGTACACAGTGTCACATGCTAAGTTCTGAAATGCTTATTCAGTTGTTACATGTTCCATCTCTTTCTGTCTCTCTCTTATCTTTCTATTCTGTTCTCCCAGCAGAGCACTGTAGTCAGGAGTCTTGTGCTTCTGAGAGTGTTGTTAATGTAATTTGTTTTGAATTAGGAGTGATGTAAACAAGGGCTGAATGAGGCTATTTACTCACCAAGATGGGAAGGAGCTCCCATGCACTTGGCTCCTATTGTGATTGGATGGAAGGGGTTTATAAATTGTGTTTCGGCAGAGTGTGGCCTTACTGTTTATGTATTGTTTACACCACTTTGTTTGCCTTGTTTTGGCTTAATAACATTTGCAGTGCCTATTTACACTTCTCCTTAAGCTTTCCAACTTCCTTTCTTTATCTTCAACTCTTCCCCTCTTACTCCAGGTTCAGACAGATGTGCCAGTCCATCATAGCCCATAAGCTGTTTGACTATGTGGTGTTGGCGTTTATCTTCTCCAACTGCATCACAGTAGCTCTGGAGAGGCCCAAGATACTACAGGGCAGCTTGGTAAATCCACCTGAAATGTGTCTATGTGCATGTTTGTGGGAGCAACACCTCCTGTCTGCAGCTTTTGCGTCATAGCTTCTTGTATTATCCGAGAAGGAATTCAATTCTGTTATCTAAAAGGTGCAGTAAATAAGGTTTTACTACCCCTAATTGCCCCCATCTCTTCTTTCTGACTCTCTCCTTTCTCCTGTTTGTCTTTTCCAGGAAAGAGTCTTCCTCACCATCTCTAACTACATCTTTACTGCCATCTTTGTGGGGGAGATGACACTCAAGGTAACATTTTACAACCTGTCTCTCTATTACTACCAATGAGTCCTGAGGAATCTTTTATGTCTGTCTCCTCCCGTGTCTCCCTGTTTGTCTCTCCCACTGAATTGACTTCGCCCCAGTGCTTCCCAACCCCTTCCCTACCCTTCCTTCTTGGCAATTGTCATGTTCCTTTGGAGAATAGAGCAATTAAGCAATGTCATTAATTACTGGCTAGTCTTCTCTTATGGATGCGGTCCATCTCCAGCACTCCCCCACACTCATTCCCTCCCCCTTTCTTTTCTGTTTTTGCCTGTTTCTTTTTTAAGTGTGTGTTTCCATTTCCTTAAGATCCCTCTGTTCTCATCAGTCAGATTTTTTTTCGGACTCGGGTATTTCCCCATCCTTCCTTCCTTTTATTTTCTCTCCCTCCCACCCTTTGCCACTGTCTCTGTATTCTCTGCGAAAGGCTTTGGCACAAGTGGGCCATCAATTATGCACTCCCACAATCAATTATTAACCAATCACAGCACGTCAAGGAGCCACAGACTTGTCAGGCCCCTGGCCAAGCCGTACATGTCTCCCTCCATGTTTCTATTTGTCTGAGACTTGTGTAGGTCTGCAATGTGTGTTTGTTTGTGTAGCATTAATCTCTCTGTACGACTCCCCCACTGTGTCTAATGCTGTGTACAAGATTCACCCACATAAAAAGCACAGCACAGCAGGGTTGAGGAATCGGTCAGCATGTTGCAGAACTTTTTAGAGTGTTATTTTATGAGGCAGCTCCAGACACAATGTAGCACTCTCCAAAAAAGTAGTTCTGATTGTACTGTAATTGTGTGAATAAACAATGCGGTTCTTCCGTACTGTTTCTCAACACAAAAATATTATCAGATTTGTGAACTCAATACATACTTGGAAGTTTTGTATATTCAGTTTACTTTGTGGCATTTTGGGCAGTTTACATTTTGGCATTTAGACCTTAGATGTTTGCCAAGCACTGATCTTTCAACCATCTTGATAATGTTTGCACACTAACCCCCACGGTCCCTCCGAAGCTTTACCAGCTACATGGCAAACAGCTTCAAATGTCAGTTGCAGATTTTTGCTTGCTTAGCAAAACACCAAATCCGGCTGTGTGCATATGTATCCTGTACAACATCCTGTCTTCACTCACACAATAAACCTTTTACAAGCAAAGATAAAGGCATTGAGACATTGTTGCTGCACCAATGATTATTACAGTAAACACACTGTTACCTGTATGCCATTATTAACCATAGATATCATTGACTGAGTTTGTTTTTATTCTTTTTTTTCCTATTGATGCACATGTTGTATGTGTGTGGCTGATAGTGATAGTCCGTATCTGCTCTTGATGCTCTCTTGGCAGGTGTGTGCGTACATACGTCTGTTGTGTGTGTGTGTGTGTGTGTGTGTGTGTGTGTGTGTGTCTGTTGGAGGCTCAGTGTGTAACATGTCTTGTTAGTGTCAACAGTTTTCCTAGAGCTGCTGATGACTGTCTGTGTCTCATCTCTCATCCTCTTGCTCTTTTAGTTCTTCCTTGTTTTTGTTTTTTGTGCTACACATGTATTTTTTCACATTTGACAGTTTACTTTACAGAGCTGGTTCAGAAATAGACGTTATACAGTTGTCTGTCAAAGTTGCTACGTGGCAAGTGAAGTCTTCTGCTTCTCCTCTTTTTTTTCCGTCGTCTTCAGGTGGTTTCCATGGGTCTGTACGTGGGTGAACAGGCTTATCTGCGGAGCAGCTGGAACATTCTGGATGGCTTCCTGGTTTTTGTGTCTTTGATTGACATTGTTGTGTCCATGGCGGGTGGGGCCAAGATCCTGGGTGTACTCAGAGTACTCAGGTTGCTCAGAACATTGCGTCCCCTCAGGTAGGGGAAAGCCTTCCCGTTTTTGTTTAAAGGTTTTACTGTTTTCGTGGGTAATTTGCATCTGTTGATTGTCATGTTATGGCAGCTCTGAATCTCAGTTTTATATTCACAAGTTCAAAATGTTGATCTTAAACAAACTGACTGAGGTGCAATGCTGTGTGCCTAAGCAGATCAAAAATCAGTTTTCAAAATTGTTTAACAATCTCAGCAGGCAGGAACAGGGTAACCATAATTAGTCAATTATATCTTCTTCAGTAATTATGTTTTCTCCCTTTAATCGTACAGTATTTGAGCTAATCAGTGCAAATTTAAGGATATTAAAATTAAACAATAATACGCATCACTCCCAGAAGTAACAAATGCATTTTATACAAAATCTGCTTTTCTCTTACCCCTCTCCCCACTTCAGGGTGATTAGCAGAGCTCCAGGTCTGAAGCTGGTGGTGGAGACCCTCATCACCTCCCTCAAACCCATTGGCAACATTGTCCTCATCTGTTGTGCATTCTTCATCATCTTTGGCATTCTTGGGGTACAGGTAGGAAAAAGGGAACACTTTAATGATACATACTGCATGCATACCTTATTTGACCAAGTATATTATATGCTGTGCTATTATTTCCTGCCCATAACTATGATTTTTTTAAAATGTTATTCTCTCCTTCCCTTTCCTTATTAATAGCTTTGAAGCACACTTGCATTTATTTCCTAAGTAAACTCTCATTGTCCTCCTACTTCCTTTATTGCTGCACAACATTTTTAGCTGATGGAATCTTTGACTAGCTCATTATTTCACACACGAGCAGCCTTTCATCTCATCTGAGGGGCCTACGGAGGCTTATTTCTCTGTTTTATATAAGCAGTTAGACGGCATCAAAAGCTCGGTCTCATTTTTCTTCTGCTAACAGCTGTTTAAAGGAAAGTTCTTCTACTGCTTCGGCCCTGATGTCAAAAACATCACCAACAAGTCTGACTGTCTACAAGCCAACTACAAGTGGGTCCACCATAAGTACAACTTTGACAACCTGGGACAGGTTAGTGCCACGTGTGTTATCTGCATGTCTGCTGCACATTATGTTTCTTATAGGAATGCGTAACCGAACATAATTTAAGAAAAATAAAATGTCTCCATAACAGTATAACATTTTTCCCTTCTGTTCTCTGCTGGTGTTCAGGCTTTGATGTCCCTGTTTGTACTCGCCTCCAAGGACGGCTGGGTTAACATCATGTATCATGGCCTGGATGCTGTGGCTGTGGACCAACAGGTACCTGAATATAAGCTGTAAACTTTAGAAAAAAAAACTTTGGGCACAACTTCTATCTGGCTTAATCTTTTGTTCTCCTTCCCTCTTGCTTCTGTTTTGTTTCCTACCTTCTATTTTCACATCATTTTATATTAAATCACATCACAAACAAACATGCCACTTCAACCCCAGCCGGTGACCAACAACAACCCATGGATGCTGCTGTATTTCATCTCCTTCCTCCTCATCGTCAGCTTCTTCGTCCTCAACATGTTTGTTGGCGTGGTGGTGGAGAACTTCCACAAGTGCCGGCAGCACCAGGAGGTGGAGGAGGCTAAAAGGCGTGAGGAGAAGCGTCAGCGGCGCATGGAAAAGAAGAGGAGAAGTAAGAGAGAGGGATGATTGGATAGGGATAGCAAAGAGGGCATAGAAGGAGAATGGAAAAGGCCAAAAGCCGGAAGAGAAATACAAATACAGAGGCACATGAACAGTTGGAGGAGGAGGCAGAAATAGGGTGATATGGGGAAAACAAATGAGAGGCACAGAAAGGAAGAAAAGGCAGGAAGAGATTTATAACATTGGGCACAATCAGATGAAAAAGCCTTACAAACATGTATAAAACAAACATATAAAATGATACAAAACACAATGCCTGAAAACAAGGACTTCAATAGTTCACTTTACTCCTATTGTTACCATGACACATTACAAGAATCCCTTTCTCTTAGCATGTTGAGCTCTGCTCATCACTGAGGAAAACTTGTGCTGTAGAAATAAAGAGAGATGGAAATTGAGACAGACAGATAACAATAAACACACTTAAGTGTCATAATTGGTGATGTGCTCTGCAATTTGCGATTTTCTTCTGCTGACAGTGATTCCAGCTTGATCAAAGCTTTTTAAAAGACAAAAGATGATCTGTTGTATGTTTCAAGTAGAAGCAAAAGCAATTTGTTTGGAATAAATATAAGTTGTTTTTTAATAGCTTGAAGGTTTGAATGATCACTGTATATCACTGAGTATTTTATAGCACCACAGAAGACACATTGTACTTCCCTTAGAAGTGCAGAAAAAACCCTCATCAAATACAAATGCATATTTTATATGTTTTAAAGCTTTAATTATATATTTTTCTACCAACAGAAGCCCAAAAGCTGCCCTACTATTCCAGCTATGGCCAAATACGCCTGATGATCCACACACTGTGCACAAACCACTACCTGGATCTCATCATCACCTTCATCATCTGCATCAACGTAATCACCATGTCCTTAGAGCACTACAATCAACCTCATGTAAGAAAGAACAAGTTTACCTATGTGTGTAATGATATGTATTTGGTGATTATATGTACAGGAGTGCAAGAACAAATTGGTGCATTATATAAGATGTTTAGGGAGTGCAGTGGGCACAGGCCAAGTTGTCTGTGGTAATGAAGATAGATGATAAATGGGGAAAGTGCCTTGCATTCTTACATTTATGTAAGTAATGAGAGATTTGTGCAACTTAGTGCCTACTCCACAAAATATGGACATAAACAGACAGACTCCTAAAAGCTCCATCTTGGGAGGAAAAACTTGTGCTGCATTTTAATGCGAATTTAATTTAACATCTGTCTAATCTTTGTGGCTGCTCTTGACTATAACTCTTACATAAAGCCTTCCCTTCCACAAACAGCAGCATCTCAAAAAGACACAGTGAAAACACTGACGGGTCAACCATCACAGAACTGTATCTAGGCTCTGTAGCATGTGTTGTGAGTAGCTGCAGTCCATACAAAGGAGCTGTGATTGCACTGCTGATTTGATGTGTGCTGCTGTCAGAGTGGTGTTAGCGCTACCGTACACGTATCTGTCCATTCATGTGTGATGAATGGAGGTTCAGAAGCCTGATAGTGTTTTTGTGCAGGAGAGAAAAGTGATTATCCTTGAGATAAGATGCCCATTTGACCTTTAAAATAGAGCAAGCTTTCTCAAACTGACCGAGCATCAGATAAATATCACAGGTCTTGGCTGTATTTGGCAGCTGTTGGTTCTGACATTTGGCAGCCTCCCGCTTGTTAGAAGCTACATCTCTATTTATGAAAAGAGACAACAGCCAAGCAAAATAATCTCCGGTCTCTGCAGAAACATGAAGCTGGACTGGATGTTTAAGACAATTAAAACATGCTTGCCTCTGGAATATTTGAATACTCTGCAAATACAATTTTGCTTAAAAATGTGCGTTTGTTAGGGGACATAATGTGTGAGCGTGTGTGTAGTGCTATGAATGGAAGATGCTCTGTTTTTGCCTCTAGCATGCTTGATTTTACTCCACAAACAATGGGAACCGTTCCAATTCTACAGTTTCTCCCTGCTGATGCTGCTAATACACCGCCCTATCTCACTTGCACACATACACACAAACACACACACCTTTTTTGCCCTCTCTCTCTCCAGTCTCTGGATCTGGCCCTGAAGTACTGCAACTATTTCTTCACCTCCACTTTTGTGCTGGAATCAGTACTCAAACTGATCGCCTTCGGCTTTCGACGCTTCTTCAAAGAGAGGTAGTGTGTGTTTCTACCTTGTGTGTTTGCAGTGCGATTGTGTATGAGACTGTTTCCCTTTATTCCTGTATGTAAGTGTATCCATGTGCTTATTTGTAGCTTGATGGTATCATTGCAAAACTCATCCAACCAGTGTTGGATTTGTACTGTACTGTACCTGAAGGGAAGCAGCATGATGATTGTCAATCAGTTTTTGGCCTTTATAGTGTGTAGCCTGAAAACATAAGCGCCCGTTGGATTAGATACTGCAAAATGAGCTTTACATTTCAAAACAGTCAGAGACTTAATGTCAGCAAAAATTACAATATCATCCCATGTTTTGTCTATTCAGCTCAGTCACTTATCAAATATTTGATGTGAAAATTAAACATTAAAGCAACTACCAGCGCTCTAGGCACATGCTATAATCTCTTGAAATAACGTATAATATAAATAGTGCAACAATAAACAGTTATTTAGTTCACAGTGTAATGGCTGTACAAATCTGCCTTTTGCTTTGATCACTATAAATGGAATAGGGACTAACAGCTTTGACAATATAGAGGATTATGAAATATGTTGAAACATGTGAGCTGGTTCTGAGGCGTTCTGTTATTAAGTTGACTAAACCCTATAGAGCTTGGTAGTACGGATGCCATGACAATTATCAAACCTACTGAAAGGTCACCATCAAATATTTCTTACATTCACTTATTCTATCAAGTTATTCTATAATGTAAGTATAAACTATTATTCATTTTTTAAAGTGTGGGAGAAACTACGGTAGCCAAGAAACCCGCAAAAAACATGAATGGCATTCTCTAGAGCCAGTGTTTGGTTTGTCCATTCTGGGCTACTGTAGGAACATGGCGGTACAACATGGCAGCCGCCACTGAAGGAAACCCACAGCGGCTGTAGATAGAAACCGCTCATTCTAAGGTAACAAAAACATAGTATTATTATAGTATTTTTAATTTCAAGTGATTATACAGTAATAAAAACATACCCATGAATATTTTATTCCATTTCTGCCAGCAGATCCTCTTAAATGTTGGATCCTGGACCTATAAATTGATATAACATTGACTTTCATGAGGAGCATTTTTCATTGTAATCATTTATTTGGTGAAATAATAGAGGTCTAATTGAAAAAAGAAACTAGAGAACTAGAGCATTATTCTGCTTGACATAACCAAAGCTCTGTGATAGTATTGCATTTCCTTGTCTCCACCTCACTGTACTTACCTTTGTTTGACCTCCATTGGAAACTGGTCTGTTCCCTCCTACATTCACTCACTCAGAGCCCAGAGACTAATTGATTTGTCACTCACCCAAATGTGCACGGTGATGAGACTGATGTCTTATTCTTTTCAGGGATGTGTGGTGACTAATTAAAGACAGAAACAGATTTGGGAGCTTATATTACACTGATGGTAGTTTAATGTCATTGACCTATTTTAGTTATTGAGGAGGAGAGAGAGAGAGAGAGAGAGAGAGAGAGAGGGAGGAGAGAGAGGAGAATAATGAGAAACAGTTAATAGTGAGAGAGATAAGGTGGCAGAGGAAGAAAGAGAGAGAGTGGGATAATATATAGGAGGGGAAGCTGGACTGATCAAAGACAAAAAAGAGGTGGACAAATGAGTGATAAAATGAGAAAGAGATGGGCGGATATAGAGAGAATTTATCACACGGTTATCAGCTGGCACTTTGTCTCTTTTTATGTAATGTCAGCAACAGCCGTGAGCAGTCATTGTACATAGTGTGATTTATAGGCTGGGGTGACTGTCAAGCCAGCTTTAGAACTGGGTCAATGGAGTAGCAGGTAAAACACAAACACACTGCCACATGCACCACTATGCACTGTAAGCTTGCAGGTATGTGTGTGTGTATGTGTGCTGTATATGTGTATATGAAGTTCTGAGGCTGACTGTGAAGGAGATATGAAAGTCCAGCACACATTTAGTTCAACCTTTTTATTAGTAACAGGTATTTACAATTTTTCTTTACCATTTCTACCAGAGGAGCTAAATTGCTTATATGGTTTTGATGTGTTTAAGTGATTAGGGAACATTATTTTCTAAGTATGAACAAAGGCAGCTGCTGTACTCTTAATCTTAACTCTTAATACTCTAATCTCAATAAATTGCTGTTTTTTTTTGTGCCAAGGTGGGTAAAACGATTGGAACAAAATGTGATAAAACAAGTAGACTCACAGTCAGGCAGGCACTAGCAACAGAGGGAAACATGATCTTGCGCATGATGATAATGAGTCACGGGCTGCGGCTGATACACTGTTGTCATTGGCATTTTAAATGAGAGAGTTTGCCAAGCATTATGAAAAATGAGTTGGCACTGCCAAATATTTTTGCACTCTGGGTGCCTTGCTTTGTGATCTCAGATCAGATGTGAACCTGAATTGTCATTTTTCATAAAAACTCACACAACACTCTCCTTGATGGTTTCACAAATGATGTGTATTCATTGACTATTTTCCAAAACGTCTGAAGATAAATGAAGCGACAAAAGATAAACATCAGGTCAAAACACTTTCCCTTAAGTCAGATGTAACAATGACTATGGTGGCTTCTAACTCTTTGATTCCCTACCATATTTATCTGATTCATACTTAACATCTGTTTCCCATCTGTCCTCAAGCCATAAAAAGAAATTATCCAACAAGCATTTTGCTGAGCATGATGTATCTGTTAAGGGCTTTTGGGGATGAAGCACTGCAGCATCACTGGTAGAAATGTGTAGATTGAAAAGTAGTGCATTGAAAGGTGACTGATATTTAACTATATACCTCCTCATATAGTGTGCGACTTACAGTAGGAGCCAACAAGTGAACTGTATCTGTGACTTTTCTTTTTCTAAACATATCTGCCACCAAACTTGCCAATATGCCATTTGTGTTTGCTTTGTTTGCGTGTGTGAGGCAATGCCTTTGTGCACCTTCCTTTATCGTGTATGTGTGTGTGTGTGTGTGTGCTTGTACTAGGTGGAACCAGTTGGACCTGGCCATTGTGCTTCTGTCAGTGATGGGCATTACCCTGGAGGAGATTGAGATCAGTGCTGCCCTGCCCATCAACCCCACTATCATCAGGATCATGAGAGTGCTGAGGATAGCACGAGGTCAGTATACTACACAAAATACGCACGTGCACACACACACACACACACACACACACACACACACACACACACACACACACACACAATCACTGTTTACTTGGCTCACTTTTGGGAACATTACATAGGCCTATACACTAACTTCAACCACTGACCTAAAAATCTGCTTTTTTCCAAACTGGGGACTCAGCCTCTGTCCCTGTTTGTACAAGCTGTCCTCAAATAACTGGTCTTTAGTCCTTATTGTGTCCCTGAAGTTATAAGTCAGACCCACACACACATTCATACACTCACTCAGAAGTCCTATCCCAGCCACACATCCTTTCAGAGAAGTAGAATATTGATTTGGTTTTGGTGGTGTGTTGAAATATAACTGTTGAAACTGTAAACAACTTTAACAGGTCAGTTAGCTGTAGCATAGCAGCTAATGTCTAAAGGGCTGTTTTTGCGTGTACTCTATGTGTGTGTGTGTGTGTGTGTGTGTGTGTGTGTGTGTGTGTGTGTTTGAGTGTTACACAGCGTGTAAATTAAGAAGTGACCTTTCCACAGTTTAATGTTTCCCATTAAGTCTGTAATTGAACCTGAGGGATTTCCCCCTAAATGCCCACACTTAAAATCTCTCTCTGTCTTTCTTTCTCTCTCCCTCTCGTTCTCTCTCACACACATAGTGCTTAAGCTGCTGAAGATGGCAACAGGAATGAGAGCCCTGTTGGATACAGTGGTCCAAGCCCTGCCTCAGGTACACACACATACACATACTAACACACGGTTTCTCCCTCTTTTTTCCTCACAGACACACACTCCACTCTCCCAGAGAGAGAGTTGGGCAGGCTCAGTCAATAGCCAATACCCCCCCATTCTGTCTCTGTTGGCCTGTAGGCAACTCTAATAGATGACTCATTCAGACTGGTAGACTGGCACACACACACGTGTGCACAGACGCATACACACTCATGGGCTTTGTCTTGTTTCCACTTTCAGCACCATGGAGAGTACCCAGACTCCCACTGTGACCACAGTGTGCTAGAAACAGTGGGAGATTCTTAAACCAGTCTGTAGTTCATTTGGTGGTGAAATGTTCACAGAGTCGGATGGTTTCTAGGCCGTCCCACAAGAAGAATCATTCCAGTGTACTGAAAGTTTAACTCTCTAGAAAATTCCCAGAATGCCTCTTTACACGGTGCTTACTGACTGGAAGCAGTGTATGTTTGCTTTGTAGCACAATACTATGAATTAAGAATAAAAGAGTAGACAATAGAACCAAGTCTTGTCATGTAGCTATACATAATATGTGTGTTATATTGAAAAGATGTTATGCTGTTTTCACGTGTGGCCACAGAATCATGTCTTCATCAGTGTCCCAATGTTTATTAATCAATAAAATTTACGTTGAGCTGTTCACTGTATGCTGATCTTTGTCAGAACAGTAGTTTGAATTTTACATCTTCATTACTTCACCTGTGAAACATAAAGCAATAGTTTGACCTTTCTGAAATCATGCTTATGTGCTTTTTTGCCAAAGTTGGTTGAGAAGATTCATACACTTTTTATGCCTGTACAGTAATGTAAATATGAGGCTGGAGCCAGTAGCTGGTTTAGCTTAGCCTAGAAGCAAGACTGGAAAGAGGGGGAAACACAACAACACATTATATCTTGATTTAAACTGTACAAAAACTGAAAACTAAGCTAAGCTAACCAGCTGCTGGCTCCAGCGGTGGTACAGATTTTCTCATCTAACTCTCAGCAAGAAAGCTAAACGTCGTATTTCCCAAAATGTTTAACTATTCCTTTAAAAGTTTTATGGAGGAAATGCACTGCTACTAGATGTTGCACTAGAGAACAACATCTTAGATCAAAACAAATGGGTGCTACAGCCCACCAGACTTAATTTTGCCTCACAGATAATCATAAAACACACTTAAAACTACTGGACACAAACCAAAAGAAACTCACTAAAATTGTCTTTTTTAGTCTTTCCACAGTCTTTCCAACACTGGCTTGGTCACAATAAACCTTTAATTCATAGAGTTAGATGTCAAAATATTCATGAAAGGGCTTCAGTGGCTGCAAGTCACTCTCCTTAAACAGTTGCACACAGAGAGACTCACATGCATTAACATGCTTGATCAAAACGGAGAAGTAAACAGGGAGAGTGTGATGACATTCTCTGCTCAGGACGCCTTCACTCCAGTATATATTTACACATTTATTTGCTCCTGTAATAATGTTCTAAATACCATATATACAACCCTAAAGTATATGTGGCTACACAGACAGATTATGTGACTGGTGACTGGTGTACAGCCTCATTTTTACACAGTCACACAAGCACACATCGTCTGACCCATTGACCATCAAAAGTAAGATGAAACAAACAGAGGGAAACAGGTGGTGTGGTGAAAGGAGGGCACGCAGAGGTGAGGGAGAACAGATTCCTTGTCTTTCTTTTCTATTGATCCCCCTCTCATTAACACTGAGCCCTTTGCTCTATCCCAAGGGCACCAGGGGAGGTAATTAAAACTAGGGCTAATTAAACAATTCCAGGAGGTCTCTCTCTCTCTCTCTCTCTCTCTCTCTCTGTGTATGGGTGTGTGTGCATATGGAGGTACTGAAAGAGCGAAAGGGAAAGCGTTACACCTGGCGAGAGATTAACCTGAGGTAATATTACGCTATATTTTACTGTGAAAATGAAACGGCAATCCTGTGTCATTACATCACATAGGATATTGAGGAAAGTATTGACATTTCAACAAAGGCTTCAGGATTCAGCTGAACAAAGGAACAGGCAAATACACAGCTAGTGTTATAAGAAGGTAAGGGATATGAATAATGCCATCGGGGCACACAGGGACAGATGTCTGCTAGAATAATAATTTATGAGATTAAACATGATGTGAAGCAGTGTATATATTTAATAGGCCATCCATACACTCACAGGGGTATTATTATTGCATATTAAATGAGTGAGCAAGCTTAATAGCTCATCGACAGGTTAAGAAAAAGGCATTTTTATGGCTTTTCTTTACAATGATGCAGTAAGACAAAGTAATTTTACCCACAAGCAACCGCCATTATCCCCATCCCCGTAACTGATGCAAAATGGCTGCAACACACCATTCGCTTACACTAATAGCCTATATCATGTTGGCACTTAAGTTGAGCCAGTTGTTTTATCACTTCTCTGGGAATGGCTGGAATCCTCCAGAATAGCCTTAGGCAGATGTGGACACCACATGGTATGCCATTTGTGCTTTGGGAAGGCTGCCCCCTGTGAAACAATTTGTATTTAGCTTAGATTATTAATATGATGTAGGTGTCCATCCTTCTTTTTGAATTACAATAAAAAAATAGAAAAAAATATTTGAAAAAGAAACTAGCTCATGCTTACTGTATTTCCATCCATCCAAGTTATTGCTATACACATCTGCATAGAATAACACTATTAAGTCCCGCCTAGTGAAACTTCTTCAAAAGTCCATTCATCCTCATCCTGGATCCCATATCGACTCAGGCCATTATATAGGACAGATTGTTAAGTACACCAGGCAGGATAGCACTAACTTAGTGATGTACTGGAGGCAAACCCCTGAACAGTCACATGTAGAATTATTACAGCACTCCAAATGAAAGGTTATACGGCAATTACCTCCATTACTTTCAGTCCAAAGGGACTCATCAGACTGTGCTGCACGTAATGGGGCATATTTGTCTACATGAAAGGTAAACTTTAATATTCTTTTAAAGTAGATGCTGCTAAACAGTTATATTGTTTTATTTATTTACATTAAAATGTAAATAATGGTATATTCTTACAGAATTTTTGCTGATTTCTCCCCCTGTCTGTTATTGTCGTGGTGTATTCCTAAGGAGAGATGAAGAAGACACATAAGAGATATTTAAATCTTGAGAGGTGGTGAAAATAAATGCATTTCTTTCTTTAGCTGGAAATGGCATTGCTTTGTAATCTCATTATAGTTCAATTTACTGGAACCTAATTTTAATCACAATCACAATTGTTTGACTTGGGTCCTATTTAATGAGACCTCTCCTTCCAAACCAGGCATTATTGTCAAAACGTTCCTTTTCATTTCGATTTTTCTTCGGATGCTAAGCATCATTATAGCCCTTAACAGCCAAAAAGCTTCTACCAAAAGTATCTCAACATAATTTATTTTAATAATCTGCTATTTCCTTTGCAGCCTGTGTGTCATCTCTTTAGAATAAGATTTGTCAGTGTCATAATGTTGATGCATTATTCCTAGACCAAACTCTACAAAGTAAACAGCAAATTTCCAGTATCTTTCCCCTGAAAACACAGGTGGAGTGCTCTAAACCTCTCTTTAGAACACGTGGTTTATAATTATAGTAACTATTTGTCAGTGCATTTCCTCATTTCCCGGTGGAGCAGTGTTGATAGCAGAGTGTTAAAGACAGTGAATAGGAGACTGGGTTTTGTATCCCTGTAATGGGATTAGATTTTGCCCTGAGTGTTTACCATGCAACATCATCATCACCATTAAGTTGTGTTAACAGAAGGCGGTTTTGTGGTGGAACCGAGCCAAATCCCAAACCCCCAAACTTAAAAATTCACAAAAGCATCAGGGGTTCAGTTGTATCAAAGTCTCAGAGGAAGTTGTACTAAGGTTTGCAGAAGTAAGCAGTGTATGGGAGCAGCATGGAAGAAACAAGTTGGATTCCTTTGTGACATTTTAATTGCACACCTATTACACCATGTATTTGATTCCCTGTTAATTTGTTCAGTAGCAGTGTTTAACAATATGCACGATGCATTTTCCATCTTAAATGATGTGTGGATTAGATTTTTTTAACCCTGGGACATTCTACCTTTGATGGTCAGTTTAAAGATTATTGACTGACTATAAAACGGTTGAATTGCTTTCATCAAGCAGATCCATAGCTACTTGATCTTTTTGTTGTTTTAAGATGCTTCTTTTTTTTATTGGTTCTAAGATTTTGAGCCAAATTGGGATAGCATTAAAGTATATAGCCCAAAACCTAGCCATAGTGCTGTTTAGGTAGTACTTCGTAGGTTGCAGATGTTAGAATGCAGTCCAATGGTTTAAAGCATGTATAGTAAAAAGTTATTCTGTTCTTGTGTGTGTGTGTGTGTGTGTGTGTGTGTGTGTGTGTGTGTGTGTGTGTGTGTGTGTGTGTGTGTGTGTGTGTGTGTTTGTGGGGGTTGCAGGTGGGTAACCTGGGCCTGCTCTTCATGCTACTGTTTTTCATCTACGCCGCCTTAGGAGTAGAGCTTTTCGGAGAACTTGGTGAGTGCACCAATAATGATGCCTACAAGGGATTATGTCACACAAAACTTTTCTCTACCTGTGCATTTTAAATTTAAACGATGTTAAACTAATTTTACAGTGTGTGTTTTCTAACCACAACTCTAATGAGAATCCATATATTCATTCCAAGATCTTCCAAGATTCCAAGAATTTACCAACGAGAGGATGGGATATATGACTGTATTAAGGGGCCACTGGCACCAGTAACAGTAAAGATAAAATCACATTTGTTGACACTTTGATGATACATTATTTATTGTGGGAAAATGTATTTGGATATTTAGGCCAATGTAATGGGATAAATGATAAAAAAAGGGGGTTCTGTGAAGCAACAAATGCAGCTTCCTGTGGGCTTTCAAAGGGGAACTGTGTGCAGGGGAATCTCTGAGTTAATGCAAGTGTTTTGAGTTTTGGACAGATTTTTCTTTTACAGCTGATGAGTTACTCTTTGATCTCAAGGTGGAATTTAAGACTATGGAACTGTAAGAAAGTGTATATTATATGGCATGTAACACATATTCACCATTATATATGTACATAAGCTCTTCCACTAGTTGGATTAAACCTTTAACCACATATGTGGTAATGTTGAGATGAAAGGATTATACCAACTTGTTGAAAAATATATTGTCCACACATCACTAATAAGCATGTGGAGATTGAAAAACAAGATATGTCAATGTCTGTCCCAGTGCATAAACAAAATGTGTCCTCGAGTTTTCATGCTCTCATTATAGTAAACTCATCTTGTGCTCATAAAAGCAAGATAACTTGTATTAACATCATGATGAAAATCTCCTTATTTTTTCTCCATCCTTTATTCCTTTTCATTAGTTCTTTCTCCTGCAGTCAGGCAGCCATTAAGGAATCAACCCACTCTCCAGTATTCTGATACACAAGTATTGTCCTAAAATATCCACATTGAAGTTGGAAGATATATCTTCCAAACTGTCACATTTCCCTTGTGTGCTGCAGCTGCAGCCAGTGGCAATGTTGCTTCCTATTGGAGCTTTGCAGGAGAAAGGATTAGTGGCAAATGCAAGTGTCTCTTTCTTGAGGCCATTCTAGAGATTATCTTGGGATAAAAGCACAAAGACAAATAGAATGTTTGGTCACATTGGTACTGATTTGATAACAGACTATGTCTACACTGAGTTGGCTTGTTTGGGCAGTCATCCAAACAGCTTAGCAACATAAATGGTGCATGCTTCTGCAGTTTTTGGGTGGAATGCCATGTTAAGTGTTGATTCACAACTCTCTTCTTTTGTTATCCCGGCTCCCTTCCTGCTCCATTTTCTCTTTCCCTTTATCCCCTCACCTCTTTCTGTGGCCCGATAACTTCTTCTCTTCCTCCATCCGCCCACCTTACTTTCATCCCCAGTTTGCAACGCAGACTATCCATGTGAGGGAATGAGTCGTCACGCTACCTTTGAGAACTTTGGCATGGCCTTCCTTACTTTGTTTCAAGTCTCCACGGGCGACAACTGGAATGGCATCATGAAGGTACGAAGATGCATTCAAAACATTGTGTAAAAAGACAATCTTAATACAGCTCACTTTAAATTTGTGCTTTAAAAAAGATGTAAATCAGAAATACAGAATTAGGGAAAATAGTGAAGAGATGAGAGAGAGATCTTCCACTCTAGCGACGCTTACTGATGAGAAGGAAATATGCTTGCTCAGCACCGGGGGCACAGATTTCCTTACTGATGGGCAGGGGAGTGAATGTGCCTCATTGCACGCACATACACAGAACACCAGTTTCTCCTGAACACGCATGTAGCAGCTATGACCACTCCTCCGCACACCTAGGCTGCGAGGGGAATAGAGTCTATGCTGGAGCGTGTCGGGCGTGGACCATTAAACACACACTGGATACAGGCAGTGTGGATGGTAGCCGGCCATGAAGCAAACCAGCAGGCCACAGATGCTACCTCTCAGAGTAAATCTCTGTCATTTGAGCCGTCAAATTACTACCTGGGCTGTGAGAGAGCCAGACCTTGCTTTGGTTTAGTAAGAAGGTGAGGCAGAGTCGTAATTAGTCATGCAGTGACGATAGGGAAGAGAGGAAATAATGAAGGAGAGAAAAGGCAGGCAAGAGAGCAGTGGGGAGAGAAAGAGGCACCAGCGAACTGTAATAAGAGGGAGGATGAAAGGATGGGAAGGGGGTTAAAAGAACTGACCAGTTATTATGATTTCTCCCCTCCAGAGGGAAAATTACAGCAAAAATGAAAAAAGGAAGGAGGAGGGGGAGGTAGAACAGCACGAGCAAGAGTTGGAGCCAAATGGAAATTTTGATGAAGAAGAGAACCAAAATATTTAAAGAAATTAGATGGAAAGGGGGTGAAGGCAGAAAAGGGAGATGTTGTGTGAAGGAGCACAGTGTGTAGTAAATGTAACGTTAAATTAGATAGAAAAGACCAGCTTCAGCTCAGAGGGCTGAAACAGTTATGTGTGGTCACAGCCCGGGTGAGATATGTGTACATCCTCCAGAAAACACTTGTCACTTTGGCTCTGCTCTGACTGAACTCCTCTGTGCACATGTTAACCAGACTGGAAAACCACTAGAATAATCCTACGGAAGAAAAAAAAAAATCTCCTGTTGTTTTGCATAGAAGCAAAACAATTAAGTGTATGGTGATTATACAAGTTGTCATGAATACAAAGAGGCTTGTTAACATGAGCTAGATGCATTCTATTATTACCGCAAATGTACTTAATAAGGATTTTTTCATTGTTGCTCTCACCAAAAACTGAATGTTACAAACACAATATTTGTCGCAGGGCTTCTGTATGAGGTGTCATGTATGTTAAGATGATCCTGACATTTTCCTGTCTCTTCACAAAGCTTTATCCAAATAATGTTGTACACCTGGTCGCTTATCTGTTTTGTCTCTTCAATTCCACACTGCCCTTCTTCCTACACTCCTAACCAACCCTGTCCTGACCTTTCCCCTCCTCTTCTGCCTTAATGACACCAGGACACATTGCGGGAGTGCCCACCAGACCATGGCACCGATGTGGACTATGCCTGCAATCCTAGCCTTCAGTTTATCTCGCCCATGTACTTTGTCTCCTTCGTGCTCACCGCCCAGTTTGTGCTCATCAATGTGGTGGTGGCCGTGCTGATGAAGCACCTGGACGACTCCAACAAGGAGGCCCAAGAGGAGGCGGAGATGGATGCAGAAATTGAGCTGGAGCTGGCCCAGGGCACCCTCTGTTGCATGGGCGCCCCCAGCTGTGGGGGTGCGAGGATGGACAAAGGACTAGTTGCTGCTGGATCAGGGCCTGGAGGTACAACAGGGGGGAAGGAAAGAGGAGTTCTCAGAGGAGAGAGGGGTGAAGGAGTGGGCAGGATGCGACATGCAGCAGCCTCTTCGCGCCCAGGAACGTACAGCTCCTGTGACTCCAGCCGAACTCTGTACTCACCAGCACAAGTGAGTGTGTGTATTTCTGTGTGAGTGTGTGCGTAAGAGAGAGAGAGAAAGAGAGAGAGAGAGAGAGAGAGAGAGAGAGAGAGAGAGAGAGAGAGTATTCTTGTGTTTGTTACCTGATAGTGTTAAAGCCCTATTTGTATGTGTAGTGTTTGCGTGGGTGGGGGTGTGCGTGTGTGTTTTTGCCTGCAAGTAGGCCTGATCTGCAGGATCGGGATCAGCCATACCAAGGCATTTTTATTATGGACCCATTTCGGATACACAAAAATCAAATCCTCATTGATTCACATCCATTTCCTTTTACTTATATCCTAGATGTGACCCAGCTGTAGCTTTGTTGTAATGCTTTGCTGTGGTCCTTTAAAACAGTGGAACCAATGCATATTGCAGAGAAACTGCAGAGTGAGGTCAACAGTGGCTAGTGGTTTCTGCTAAAATAAAAACCTGTGCTAGCAAGTTAGCTAGCACACAGGTAGCTAGTATTGAAGGTGCTTTGGGATAAAAAATGAATAAATAAAGGTTTGCGACTGTTTTAGCTTCATTTTCCACATGCATGTTGTCTTGATTTTGTCTGCAGTGGGGATAAAGAGAAGTTGCTTCAATACTATCAAAACCTTCCTGCAGTGTCTGCTCTGACAGTCTTTTTTCCAAGAACATTATACTAAACACTACTGGAGAATATACTATATTGTAGAAAGTTATGGAAAGCAAGATGCAGTTCAGATCTTCTTAATGCTTAGTAATTCAGTCTTCAAGCTAATATAAGCCTCCATAAATCGCTGTAATAATTGCTTTAATAACTTTAAAGTAGGCCTAATATGCAGTGGAGCAGTACTATGTCCGAAAATATGTATGCAGGAAAACGTGAATCAGACAGTCTCAGTAGATACTGAATAATGAACAATTCGGATCACTATCTGGGGTAAAAGCGCCACGGAGACATCCTTACTTTTGAGTATTCTTTTCTGTTTCTCTGGCTGCTTGTCAGTTTGCTTCTCTTTACACAGTATCAATGCATTACTTCATGCGGAGAAAATTACATATTTGATTTAGAGGCTGGAGGAATACAAAAGAAGTAAACACTATGATGGTAATTTCTGTATAGTGTTGGAATGGTGCTGACATGGGAGAGAGTAGAGAAGAGCGCTCTGGTTTTTTTTTTTTCGGGAAATTGACTGACAGCCACATAGCACGATTACACTTAGTCATTTTACCATTTTATCTCTTTGTATAATTTGTTTGTACTTTTGCTCTTTTTCTTTTATAGATTTTGTGAGGAGAAAGGGAGGGCAAGGAAGGTTAAAGATTTACACAAAGAGAGGGAATAAAAAGAAAAGGCAGATCTAAGGGAAAGGAAGAAAGAGACACCAATCTGTGCCTAATGGCAACATCGCACAATTGCAATCGTGTTAAGAAACCAGTTAATATGAGAAAAAAAACAATCGGCTGGAATTAAAGGCATTTTCCAATATTAAACCAAACCACTAAAGTGATATTAGGCAGATGAAAGTCAAGGCTAGACCATGTATTTTCATTTAAACTTGTGAAAGTGTGTTTTTGTCTTCCTTCACTGAAGTCATAGCTACCCATGTTGTCAGGAAGGAGAGATGAGCAATTTTATTTGCTTTCTCAATTAAGCTTTTTTCATTTAAGCCTTATTAACCATTCAGCACTCACCGCGTGAGTTCGCAGACGCACACGCACAGGTTACATTTTTGAAAGGATAATGTCAGTGCCTACATCTGTGCGTGAGAGAAGATGGCCTCTCATTTCTACTCACAGTCTGACAGCAGAGACACATGCTTCCATTACGAAATCGCTAATGATAGTCTGAGATATCCACGCAGAAATAGACATAAAGATGACTCATCGGCTGCCATGAAGTGTCTCACCTTTGTAGAGCTAAAGTTGGCAGCATGGAGCCATTTTTAGCTCAGTGTTGGCTGACGGAGGAACTTAATGCAGACCAGGGAGAACACACTGGCAGCATCCTCCCCCTCGCTCTCTATCTCGATCTCCCTCTCTTTCATTTTCTGTCTCTCAAGTGATGCAATAAGGGATCTGGTAACCAATGCAATTTATTCAGTGCACAGGTTATCGGGTTGGAGTGTGTGTGTGTGTAAATGTGTGTAATTGAAAAAGGCTCACACGAGGAAGTGTACACACCTAAACATTCTGACTGTGCTGTGGTGGGTCAAAATTTGAGAGTCTCCACATATTGTCATAATATTACCAGTAGCTTCTCCAGCAAACAAATAATTTTCCTTGGTACACTTTATTTATTTATTAATATAACAGAAATATGGGTTTTATGATTTCAAATTGCTTTATTCAGCCATAAAATTTATGTTTCTAATACTCAAAGGGTGTTGATAGATCAGATGGTATTTGATGATATAAGTAGCTTTCGAGAGCTCAAAAAAGATTGCAGCTAGAGCTAGTGAATTCAATAATGTGCCATAATATACAGTGAAAAATTCTGTTGTGACTCTATGGTGAAATACCAGTAATATATTGCACAGAGACTAGAGGGGACACTGTAGGAAGTCGACACACACAGAGGGAGAGAGAGTAAGGGAACAAGAGAGGAGAGATAATAGCTGAGTCGGTGACAGTCAGATAGACGCAGTAATTAATTTCAGCTCTCTCCTCTCTCTCTCAACTTCTATTCCCTGCAGACGGGCCCTATTGTTGTCCACTAATACAGTTATTAATGGAGGCCAGCACATAGGCCACCACAGTCAATCAAACATTATTTTTATATCAAGCTCTCCACCTACACAGAATGGACAATCTTGGGACTGTCTGTGAGAGAGAGCGAGAAGTAGCAGAAGAAGTGTGGTTTTTTTTTATACATCCATATATTAAAAGAGCTGGATATGGCAGAGTCAGCCTTGCAGCCAGGTTGTCTTTGCGCCAAAATGTGGCACTGCAACACTGTTTCATAAACCAGCATGGGTTAGTTATATTTATATTGCTGGGAGTACAGTAACCTGTCTCTTGAATTCTTAGCCCCCTCATTTTCAAAAACATGAGCCGTGATTGTAATATAACAGTATGAGTCAGAAATGTGTGTTTGCATAACAGATCTAAGTATAGTCCTATAAGCGATGTTGTAGAAATGTGTTATGAAAATAGGCTTGTGTGGGGATTGAAGAGGAGTGACCTTATTTCACAGTATCTTTTGGGATATATCTGCTGATATAATAGAGTTATCTTGGCCGTTATGAATGTGTTACAGGCACAATGCATCCAATTCATTGTGAAATACAGTGCACTGCCAAGAAACACAGAAAATCATTTTTAAAGTATTTTCCTTTTCCTGTCAGTAGTTTTCCTTTTTCTGCCAGATTGTTTTTTGGGAAAACCAGTCTGGCAGATGAGATTCAAGCAAGGAGGAATCATTTAAGTCGAAGAAAAAGCCCTGACTGATTTAGTCTAAATTGCTTTAAACCTAATAATACCCAGAGCACAAAGCAAATGCTTAAATCTTAAATTGTTTCAACAAGGTATTGAACAGCCTAATTGAGGTGATATATCAAATGTAATTGCGCCGCTCTCAGTGCTCAAGGCTTTGATAGTAAAATTATGTGTTACTTGACTAATGAGGGTTTGGAGTCATATTATTGAGGAGCTTTTTTCCAAAAGAGAACATTGTTTAGCCCCAAAGGCCATCAAAGTATGAGAGGCGGATTTGTTCTGGTTTGTTGGTACAGGATCTCTGACAGGAAGAATGTGTCTGCTTTTTTTTTTTCTTTTTTTTTTTTGGGAGGAATTTCATAAATTAAGGCTTAGGTAGTGTGAGATGTACGTGTGTGTGGGTGAAAATGCTCATATGTGACTGTGTCTATTTGTGTGTTAGTACATAACTAAGTATACAGTATAAGGATACCTGCGTGTGCACACAGGCATTTTTATAACCCTTACGATGGTGTATGCATTTCCCTGCGTGTTCTTTGTCCTCGCATGTCCGCATGTGCACATGTTTGCGCCTGCGTGCAATACTGGTCTGCCGGCCTGCGTCCCGTGTGTATGTGTCCGTGTGTGTGTGTGTGTGTGTGTGTGTGTGTATGTGTTCCAGGAGAGCCAGTGGCTGGACAGCGTATCTCTCCTGATCAAGGATACATTGGAGGGGGAGATGCTGATGATCGACAACCTCTCCGGTTCTGTCTTCCACCACTACTCCTCTCCTCCACCAATCTGCAAAGACTGCAAGGGCCACCCGCAAGAGGTACCACCCTGAACACACATGGATACACACATACATGCAATACGCACAGACACTCACACACCCCAGATATTAAATTCATCCTTGTGGTTTAAATTTACATGAGAAACAGAACCACAGGAATAAATATTTCGGTTAAACATTTGGCTCACACTACACAACTACCAACAATACCTTACAGTACTGTGGATTGATGCATACGTTTTTAACATAAGCATTGTTAGTGACAGGCTCTACCTACTGAGCTTTACAAGACCAACCTGGAGGCAAATATTTATCAAACATGTCAGAGTAACTCCTATTAATCACAGAGAATATTTCACCAGTACTAAAAATACTCCCATCTCAGAAGAGGAGACCTATTTTTAAAGAAGGTACTCTACTGTTGCCAATTTAGAAACCATGTTGAAAGACATGGTCCCTTTAGCAATGTTATTTTAAAAAATGAGCCCAACAACAAGTCTATTGACATTTTTGGGCAAACATTATTTCCCCTGAAGAGTCTCAGGTGAATCTGAAGTCCTCATTGCTGCCGTTCTATGGCATGACAGCTACATCCAGTGAGAGAGAGAGAGCAGCACTTTCAGTCGACCACAAAGCAGGCAGACTGAAATATAAACAGATTGCAGAGTGTTCACAGTGTTTTTGAAAATGCCATGGTTTAGTTGGTGTGGGCATCTTATCAATAGCTGCACTCATAAACCAGCAAAACCAGGCTTACCAAGGCTTGTTTCATTATCACCTTTAGAGGTGGGGAAGAAACAGGTCAGTTTTAAAAATAAAATAATGCAGTCCCAGATGTGAGGGATCTAAATCATCGTTGTGTTAACCACAGCTTCTTCTTGTCAAATAAATGTGAATTTTAAGATTTAGTTTTCTGCAAAGTGGGCACAGTTTTGTAAAAGGATCTTGCTTTATAAAACACTTTTACTTCTGTGCCTGAAAGTAGGACCAAATATGGCTCATTCGGAGAAGTTAGGACTGATTCCTTGCTCTGTATTGTAAATATGGCTCCAGGTGTTTTAAATTATCTTGAGGGACAGTGTGAGTTTAAATAAATGTGTTTAAAAAAAACTCACACTGGATGCAAGCCCCAAATAGCTGTGAGGGTAGAAATATAAGACTGAAAAACATCCTTAGTAGCATATAAGTAAGTAACAGTATACATGCACACTAGGGGTTTCATCGACTTGTAGTTGGTGTGGGCAGAGTGTAGTGTAGTGCATCTGTGTTACAAAAACTTGCTAAACAAAACATTTTCTTTGCAAAGCTCGCAAAAGTTAAACTCAGTAGTCCTGAAACCCTGAATACACTCATACAAGACACACACATTTATGCACACAGGCACACACCCACGTACACAACCATGATGTTGGGTACCAGATTGCATGCATGCACATTTGCAACAGAAACACACACAGGAACATGCATTTGCACGTACTTTCATGGACATACACACACACGGGGGCTTCATTCATCACACAAAGCAGTTTGAATGGGGAGTGGTGTTGAAGTTCATGTTTTATAAAGCTTGTCAGCTACTGTATGTGTACAGTATAACAAAGAGAATTTCAGACCTTAATTAAACACCATCAACACAAGATTGTATCAACTTTCCATATGAGCCGAAATGTGGATTAATGAGGCCCTTTGCATGCGCACACACAAGCAACCATTCTTGATATGCATGTATGCACGCACACACAAACACTCTCCTTTACTTGCATTTTGGGGTATTTTGTACACAGGAGACCCTGCATAAAAAAAAAAAAAAAAACACACTCACAAACATACTGTCCTGTGCCGGTGTTGTCCATCACAATGACAAAGTGCAGCGGGTCAGCTCAGAAGAAGCAATAACTGGGCTCTACACCTTCACACCTGTCAGTCCTGCTTTCTGCCTGTCTGCAGATGCTGTCAAACCATCAATCTTTGCTCCTTCTTTAACATGCTTCCTCTTCCCATCTGTCCCTCCACTTCTTTGGCTAACCCTCTACTGTATTTATATCTGATTTACTGTATCTGATCATGTACTGTTCTCCTTCAATTTCCCATGTTCTTTAACCATCAGACTTGCATACTTGTTTGTCTGTGTGTCTGTGTGTGTGAGAGAGAGTGTGTGGGTGTGTGGCATTTTCAGACAGATGATTCTGTCACTGCTGAGAGTTACGTACAATGTTATTGTGTTTAAGGGGACAGGAAGGCACAGCGGGACTCCTGGGTGCAGTGTGTGTGACAGTGGAAATATTCATCAAGTAACTGCCTAATAAGGATTTGAGATCAGCCGCAGCTTGAGAGTGACTAAAGTTGAGTCTGCAGGGAACAATTCAATGGAGCAGAGAAGGCCTTTGACATTTATTCAGTTTCTAGCATAAAGAGGCACTTATCAGGCGATTTTTGGAAGGGCGCCATCTTAAAAGGCATCATCAGAGTTTCTGAGGTTATTTAGAAAGTATAGTTCTGAAAGCTACTTGGAAGAAGCTAAACCACAGCAAAGCTATGCTCAGGAGTAATATTGCTTGTTTGTTTTTCAGGTAAAAGCATTTGGGCCAGCGTAAGTCACAGACCCGTAGTGATGTTGATATAAGGCCATCAGCAGGTGTTGTGGTCAAAAATGGTTTGTTAGGCAAAAAATATACGGCGATAATGATGTGAATGGACTCTGGTGCATGGTAATACCTTGGCATATTGCAACAAATGAGTTGTTCCAAGAGGTCTGAGAGGAGAAATAAGTAGCAGAACTTGCAGATGTTGTGTATTGTGCTTGCAAATTTGATAGGCAAGCACAAATTGTTGGTTTGATCCAACTGTGAGACAAACATTGAAATCAATTAAAGCACCTTTGTGAAAGATTTAAGCTGAAGGCCCTATTTAGAGCCAGTGTGTGGTTTATTTGGATACTATAGAAACATGATTTTTGTTTTTAGGTGATAAAACACTACAGAGATATAAATATTACATTCCATTTCTGTTAATAGATCCTCCTAAATGTTACACACTGGACCTGTGCAAAATATTGTCTAGGTGACCTTGTTGCCTATGTTTACCATATATTATATTATATATGCTTACCATGTCCTGACTAGCATGAGTCCAGTGTGGCTGTGAGGTAATGCTTATTTTCTTGTTCAGTCTCACAATCTTCTCTCATTGCCTCCCAGTGGCACTGAATAAAACGATCTCTTGCCCAACCCCTCTCAGGCTTTGGTGGACACTTTCAATTGGTTCTTGCCCCAGTCCCCTATCTTGCTAGTGAAACCTTCAATATATCTGCAGTTACCTTGGAAGCGACTCTGTAGCAACTCTTCCTGTACCCATTGTGCCGTCTTTCGTTGTCCCTGGAGGCACAGCCAAGAATACAGGAAGAGAAAAGGCTGTAGTTTCCATTACCTTGCCAATAAATGTAGCAACCGATGACTCGCAGGGACCTATTTGAAGCTATTTACAGCCCAACTCACACACACAAAGCAAGTCAGCAGATATGGTACTATGTGGTCATATGGTAGCATTAGTGAAGGCCAATATACAGAGATGAAACTGAAAAACTACAAAGGGTTCCTTTAAATGAATGAGTTGCATTGCTGTGCTTCTGCCTAGTCTCATTCCACCTCTCTCTCTTTCTCCTTGGGGGCAATGGTAATTTACTGCTGCATATCAGCCATGAATCTTACTCTATGAACCTCTTTGTCTTTCTCACCTACGGGCACATATTAATATATCACTAACAGGCCTCACTCCATTGGATTTCACTTGGCTCTTTTTAAGTACGCTTTTTAATGCTTCTCTCTGGCTATTTATTGCTCTGTCTCATGAAAAAAAAACAAAAAAACACTGCTGCTTGAGCGCATCATAGCATCCCCAGAACCCTGAAATTCCACTCCAGCTCACTGTTTGCAGTATGTTTTGAAATTGTGCACAAAAGGTGCTGCAAGGGGAGGAATAGAGAGGAGTGTCAGCCGAGAAGCTTGAGCTCACAGGAGGCTCATGCAGCGATAATTTAAAACCAATTCAATAGCCATATGGGCTGAGTTACCTGCAGTCCTGATGAAACAAACTTAGCTGGAGCCAGTGTTGGAACAAATGAGAAAGAGAGGGAGTAACAGTTGGAGTAATTGTTGTCACTACCCAATTATTCTGTGTTTGGAGAGTATGACAGTTTCTATAAGACACTATTACCATACACACAGCAACAACATTTTAATGTACAATTGTGTCTGAAAACATACTCTGTTAGCTGTAAGGGCAGAATTATGAGGTTCTGGTGCTGCTACAACACCACTCCTGATGGAAACTCTTCACTCTTGCTTACATTTACATGCAGATACCGCAGGTGCACACACATACACAAAAACTGTGTATGCGCTGCTTGGATATCTGCGTCTCGCCTCTCATTCAGCCTTTCTCTTCACCTACTTTTGTGGCACTGGGAAATATTTGTTCAGTTGATGATGATAAAGCAATGTTACTACTTCTTGAAATCTCTCACCCTGCTCTCTTTACAGACAGGTGCCATGGCATTTTGGACTTTGCACTTTGAATTGTCAACATCTGGTGAAGCATATCGAAACTTGGTGGAGGTTTTATCTATCTTGTCTGTGTAGCTCATATTGGCCAGTGAGAGATACTGTTTAAACAAAGGAATGATGAGAGACACCTTCAAAACATTGTTGCTGATCATTTAGAAGCTTAATATCTATGTACACAAAGATGTAAGATATTGAAGTTATGGTTGTTGTGAACCCTAGAATAAGTCATGCATTATATCGAGCACTGATGAGACCACGCTCAGTTAATTCATTCCAAGAAGTCTGAAACTTTTGCTGTTCCGTATTTCTACCTATTTTTGAGACATGAATAACAGAGGTACTATTTTGCAGCAGATCAGGATGGCAGAGATTGAGCAGGCATCGCTGAAGTCAGAGCAACTGTCAGACAAGTCCTCGTCCCCTGCCCTGCCAGATGACCTCAGCTTGGACGAACATACTGCTTACCAGCTGCTGGCGCGAGAGGGCAAGGTGGGTATGAGCAAAGTGAGGTAGGAATGGGAGATTAGGATCTACACATTTGAAAGAAGAAGAAAGAATAAGTCTCTTTAATGCACTGAAAAATGCCCCTGAGGGGACTATATTCAGTTAAAAATTTGCTGTCATTTTATTTCCAATTATCAGGGTAGATCTGGAAATCAGTTCTTTAAAGGATACTACGGATTTGCATGACAGTATGTCTGCTCTGATTTACAATATTCAGCTGTCTTTACACAGATTATACTGGTAAAGAAAGTTGGATCTGAGCTTTGATCAGTGGTTACAATGTCCAATTTGCACAGATGTTCTTGTATTGACTTTACCCAGAATTCAGTCTTTACACTGCTCAGATAAAAATCCTAATAAAATAATGATCATCCCAGTAATAACTAGAATAAAGTGAATAGCTAAGTAACAGAAAACCTATCAAAACAGAGTGTTGTGTGTGTGACAGAGACAGGGAGTGAACCTCTGCTTTAATGTCAGTACCTAGATAATTTAGTTGCGCTGTACACCTGCTTGCCATCTTAACACAGACTTTTTAAGCCAAAGCAGACCCAGCTTCATGCCAGTATAACATTTTTTTTTGTAAAAAAAACAAAAAAAACAGATGTAGTGACCACTACAATGCCAACTGCACAACCAATTCACAGTGGTTAACTTCAACTATGCCCACTACTTTGTACTTGTAATGCAGAGCATACTGGCACTTTGTCCTACTCCCCCCAGGAGAGTTAGCACAAACAATGGGAGAGGCTCACTGGTGATTTTATATAATTATTCCAGGAAGCACAAAACAAATGACCATTATAAAATCTTTTCATGCCTCTGTTGTAGGCTCTCTTGTGAATTACAGTTATAAACCTTATGCTCCAAAGACTCCTTTATCTGTTTCTCTCTATGTATCTGAGGTAACTATCTTGTCTTTGAAGAACCCACAGTCTCTATCCACCACAGACCTTTGCATGAATAAAACTAGATTCCCCCTTGTCACTATCCTGGGTGGCTCTCATGCCTCTCTCCCTCACACCCACTCTCTCCCTTTTGACTTTATCTCGCACGCTTCTTCTTTCTCATTGCTAGCCCCCTGGTAATTGCACACCTTCTCTGCACCTCCCTTTAGCCCCTCTATCGCCATCCCTTATCATACGTCCTTCCTAGATATCCTCCTCTGTAATGGGGTAATGCTCCTTGGTTCTGGATAGCCAGATAAGCCTGCAACCACCAAGCATGTCTGTGTACCACTGCTCATTAGAGGAGTGGGAAAAGAGAGGGAGACAGGGAAAGACAGAAGGTGAAAAAGGATCTAAGGTTAGGGATTTTATTTGTCAAGCATTGTTTGGTTAAAAAAAAAAAAAATGCATGTGTGTGTGTGGGTGAGGATGGCATTAAGCATGTGTGCCAAGGCTGTTTGAAGTTTGTATGGGTGTGGGTGGCTGCCTGTTTGAAAGGGGGCTGTTCAGGGGCTAGGACTGAATGACTCAGAGGTACAATACACTAATGGAAGCACAAAATGCGTACCCGCACACCCCCCCCCACACACACACACACACACACACACACGTGCACAAACACGCATAAATGATTCTGCAGTCCCTCCATGATGGTAATTAAAATGTACGAGGTAAGAGCTTACAAAGCTGAACTCCTGCCTTAATCTGCCTCATGATTCCCACATCCAGCTGTTACAGCCATCACACACGCTGACAAATTCATAACCAAACGTTTATTGTTACAATATATAACATTAACATGACAATAACAGGCTCTATCGGCTCATAGTCGGTTCTCACCCCTTCACTAGCACTTAAATGAAAAGCCTGAGGGATGATGTGAATCAGAGGCCATGTTTGATATCTGCAGGATGCCAGAGGGGCTGATTTTTTCTGTACTCATTAATCTATTAGACTTGGTCCAGGAATTGTAACTTTACAAAATATAATGCTAATCCTAAACTTGAATTGTCCCATTGCTAAAGAAATAAAAGGTTATGGCTAATTTTAAACTATGTTAATCATTATAAGCTTTTTAGCACACAAGTCTCAGCCATTTTCAGCACATGATTTATCTTCCTTTTAAAGAAGTACAGGAATCCACACGCTTACTTTAATTAATTCCTATTAATAATGACTAAATTATGCTGGAGTTTTATTGGAAAAGACTTTCTCTTCAATGTCAGATCATCTGTTCTCTTCCAGGGAAGGTGCAGCAGTGACTCCCGCAGCTCGGAGGAGGCTGGAGGTGGAGGGAGTCATGCAGGAGGCCATCAGACTCAGAGTGTGGTGCAGAGCCAGCCCTGCCGGTCCCTCAGCACTGGCATTGAGATGGAGACTGCACTGCAGGAGATGGAGATGCAAACACACCAACCACATATGTACTCACCTCACTGTAGCCCTGGTGAGTATATAGGCTGTACTACCAGGCTGATTTTCAAAGGATTTAAAACAAGTTAAAGTTTGATGAAATGCAGTGGTGGATAAAATTGACGGTAGTACATATCAGCTAAAATACACAACATAGACATAGCATGGTTTCCAACATGAATATCAAAGAACATTTTAAAGTACATTTTATTCTTAAAAAGAGGATTTCCCAGAAATGTACCTCTCAACAATGAGGAAGAGGAGCTCTGCAATAAATTGCCAAAATGAATTGCATCACATCTGTGTAGATGTGCAGCTGAAGCAAGGTATTAGCATACTTTACTATTTTTTCAATTCAGATTAAACCTAGTCTCAATTTTCACACAAACGTAGCATTACAAACCATATACTCATCAACATTTATCTGCTAACTTAATGGAGACAGTTGGTGCTTCTACACACCACCCTACACAGCAACAAAAGGACCCACCAGAAGGAAGCATTTCAAAGCATCTGTGTAGACTGGAACAGGGATTCACTCACAACAGCCACCTGGAAGTCTTGTGCTTGGTTTGCTGGCTTAATAGCTACTAAATTGCTATTGCTTCAGATAAATATAGGAAATATATATATAAATATACCCCTCCACTATAGCTGGATCTATATACATTATTCAGAAGAATAAAATCCTTCTCATGTAAGGGATACAAGAAAAGTAGACAAAACATGACAGTAACACCTTGATAGAAATGGAGTGTATTCCCTCCTAAAGGTGGCGTTTCCAGCAGCAGCAACAAGGGAAGAAACAAAGAGGGAGAAGGAGGAGCTAGTGGCATTTCTCCTCTCTTCCATCTGCCTGCAGAGTTCTTCCACCCTGCAGGAGCCGCCATCCCAGCACCTCCCCGCAGTAGGAGCCTACGGTTGTCAAGGGGCCTTAGGCTGACCTCCCCGGCCTCCTGGGCTTCACTCCGCTCCCCAGGAGCCCATAGCAAGATGCTCTGTACACAGGTACGGGGAGGGAAAGAGAGGGGCAAAACACAGTCAAATAGGTTGGATGACACTAGAAGTGGATTAAGATAGTTGAGAGACTTGAGCAAGTCATCAGACTATTGTTAAAGCAAAAAAATATTTATTTTTGTGGATTAAACAGGTTTTTTTATATGACATAATTATAATGAAAATTGGTTTGTAATAAGCATTTAAGAGGCAATAAAATATGCAAAAGATGCATAAGATGCAATAAATATAACAATAACAGATTTTACATAATGAGTAGAAGAGTTGGATTCATGCGTTCCACTTTTTGTCTCCACTCCCCTTTCTCCCTTCTTTCTGTCTTCAGTACCCATCCCACAGTGACTCATCCCTTGCTACAGGCAGCTCTGAGGGCAGCCTCCAGACCACCCTGGAAGAAGGACTGAGCTTCAGCGTCTCTCCACCACAGAACTTGGAGCTGCCTTTGCCAACAGCTCCGTTACCACTCACGTGCCCACTCCAGCTGCCTGAAGACAGCACGGCCATTTCCTCCCTAGTCCAGACCCTGAGACCACGGCCGAGCCCCTCATCAGCCCTCACCCTCCAGGCCACCAGGGGCCACCAGCGGAGCCAGAGCAGTGGCCGAGGTAGCACAAGCCCGGGCTATACCCGTGATGACTCAATTGACCCTTCAGATGAGGACCTGGGCATAGGCATTGGATCGTCAATTGGTGGATGTGGCTCCAGCCAAGCGGGCAACAGTGAACACTTGTCAGAGACACTGAGCAGCTTGTCGCTGACATCACTGCTGTCACCTAGCTCTCTGGTGTACCCGGGAGGAGCAGTGAAGAAGTGCAACAGCACAGGCAGCCTGGAACAAGGGGGGATGCTGATGTCATCCAGGGGCAGGGAGGGCCGCAGGGAGATTCTAGGCCTAGAGCTTATGGACCCCCAAGGCTTCTTGGCCAACCCCTGGACAGGGGCATTAGTTGACACAAGAAGAGGAGAAGGAAGAGGGGAAATAGGAGATGGTGAGCAAGGGTTCAAAGGGAAGAGCTCAAGCCAAACAACAGTAGGGCCATGTCGGAAAAACAGATGAAACCTACTGTTTTCTCTTTCTTTGTCTTTCCATTCCTTGGATCTAAACCCATTGCTGTCCCTCTCACTCTCTCTGTTCCCAGCAGTGAGAGAGAGGCTTGATGACACACGATGTCCTGTATCCCAAAACCAAACCCTCATCTTGCCCCCTCAACCCCTTTCTATACGTTTGTGACAAGCCCATGTCCTATTTTGTGCTACCTAGGGGAGTGGTCTTGGTTATAGCCTGCTGGTGAGGAAGTGGCCTGCAGAGTTAAGGCCCAAGTGCTGAAGATAGGTCCTCTGTACCTGTAGAGGAGGCCATGGAAGGTTCTGCTCACATTGGAAGACCAGGAGGCCCATTCATATCAGGGAGTCAATTGAAGCAGAAACAAAAGAGCTAAAACTCAATGACACAAGAAAGAGTCTTGTTGTTGCTCTACTGTAGTTTCCTTTTCTCCGTGTTGGCTCGGGTTCACTGAGGTTGAAAATGCAAAAATAGGAGTACCCAAACTGAAATAGCTATCCATGCTAACAGAGACTGTTTTGATTCGTTTATGTCTCAGAGGCAGTGCAGCAAGTAAGAGGGAGGAGCTCGGAGATGGCGGAATATATCAAGGCGGAAGGAAGGCTGGGAAAGGAAAAGGCAGGTCATTTGTTGGCTGGGCAAGCAGAAAGCGGATCTAATGTCCATCTGTTCTGGCAGACGGAAACAACAGGTCCTACTCACTCTGGCACAGGACCTTCTGCTGAGTTCAGAGTAAAATGCAAGGTGGAGGAGAGTTCAAGAGGGTGTGCTTATTTTGTGTGTTTGTGTGTGAGAGCACTGCCTCAGGTAACCAAGGCATGAATTAAATTATTCTCATCACTTCACCATGCCTCTGTATTTTTGAAACAGGAGATAGGTATTGACTGATCGAAGCTTTGTGCCTCTGTCAACTTAGTCTTGAGTGGCAGCGGAAAATGAAAAGAAATTGACAGATTGCAGAGGTATAACCGTGCATGGAGTGATTCGTGAAATTGGTTATTTTTCTTTCTATCTCCAGCATCTCGCACTCACTCAAAAATAAAAAAATGAGTAGAACCAGGTTGGATGGAGCTTTATAAACCCCATCAGAAGAAACAATAATGTGTTCCTCGGGCAGCCTTGTGTGCACCAAAAAATGGTTCACAGCTACTTAATAAAGTGAGACTTCAAGCACACTCTTTTTGACATCACTTCTTCTCACCATGCTTAAGGATTTAAGATGGATGGACCAACCCACGAGAGTTGAGAGGGACCTTGACTGCATGATGGAATTGCATTTAACCAAGATTTTTATCTATATACAGAAGTGTATCAAGATGTCAATGTCGGGTGATAACGATGTGATTTCTATTCCACTATTTTTGTAGAAAAGAGAATAGGCACGTGCAAGTGTTGCCGTTACTTTGTCCCTATTTAATTTAACCTGTACGTTCTCTTTGACTTGTTGTCTAGGACTTTTTGTCTGCCAGTGGCTTCCAGTTTTATAAAGATTTTTAAGGTGTGGACAGTGTATAAAACAACTAAGCAAAAAATTTCAAACAAACTTTGTGCGCTAAAGTGATTGTTCCCTCCAGCACATTTCTCTTTGGGAACACTGGTTCCCTCGTGGATTTTTTTCAAATGTTGTCCCAGGGGACAACCAGAGATGGGAACAGCCATATTCACTCAGCACATGAGGATCGTTCTAGCTCACAGACATTCCTGGCGGCACGCAGGGAACTTTGTTTGCTTTTAGCCTCCTATGCTAAAAACCATGAATAGCATAAACCATCTCTATGAAAGCTTTAATTTGAGAGTTACACCACAACATATCGATTACGGACACATTAGTGTTCCTTAAGCATGGTTCTGGGATTGCAATACAGTATGCTTATTCTTGAAATGACACCCTGATGCACTCATATTCTCTTCCCCATCTCTGTACACATACAGTATGTTGTAGCAACCCTTTCACACACCATTGTTTGATATCAAAAGCTGACACTGTAACAACAAACAAAACTTTGCATCTTTTAATGCACAATTATTTTGGCTTCTATCACTTGATTAATTACTCCATCCAAAAAGGAGATGCTCATCTTTAAGCCTGATTTCTAGAGGTAGACTGTTGTATCCCTAGTGTTTTGATCATTACCTTGCTTTTTTTAATTTCTCAAAAAGAATGAGGTGATGTGAGAAAATCTGAGGGTTTGACCTTTTTTATCATGCAAAATCACTTTGATGACTATGTTTTATCACATGGTGTTGGGTATTAATGAGTGTTAGTCAAGACAGTTGTGTGGGTGTGTGTGTGTGTGTGTATGTGCGTTTATGACTTCAGGTGAAGTGATTGCCTTTTCCTGAAGTGTCCTGTATGTCAGCGAGGATACCTGAGATTAAAGGTTGAAGAGAGAAAAAATGAAGCAACCAAGGGCTGTTTTAGCTTCAAAGATATATCCGCCTATCTTTCTGAGACAAATCCTTGTGTCACTGAATATGGCATCAAAGGTTAAAGCCTGACTACGCAGCAATAAATGTTCTATGTGTATGCCCTGAGTAAATGATGTCAATGTGATTTTTATCTCCTCAGAATACAACAGTATACATTACTGTATGTTTTTGCTTCTACTTGTCTGGACTTTCAACCAATCAAATAGCACCTCTGCCCTCTCAGAGACCAATCAGTAGAGAGATGGGCTGCAATTGGACGAACAAATGAGGTAATTGAACTCAGGTCGGGGGGTAAAAACCACTAGTAAAATTTTAAAGATAGCTGTAAAGGTGTGCTCAGACTGAACTCGAAGCGAATTTTCCTCTCGCTTTATTCGCACAAATTTGACTGCTGGAGTGTTTATATGCTACAAACAGCCAACGCACCCTCAGTCCAGATGTTAGCTGCAACTACCTAACAATGCGCCATCTGTGTGTGTGAGCAGAGTGTGCCTTTGTACAGTATGTGTGTGCTACAACTCTGACTCAGACTGATTTCGAAACCTACCAGGATCTCAATTTGTTTCTGTTATTTTCCCCCAGACTCTATTTTCTTGTCTCTGTACGTTGAAGAAGTGGAGTACAATAGCTCGGGATAAGCACACATTTTTTGCTAATGTTTCAACATGTTCAACTTGTGCAGAGAAGTTTTTGCTTCACTTCACACTGCCTTGAGCGAACCTGTGCCCACCTCTACATTGAATTTGTATGCAATCACGCCGCCTCTAAAATTAGCTTTGTGTTCAGTCTGAACACACCTTAAGAGTGTACAATTCACATTTGTACATATCTTTGTATTTTGATCTGCATGTGTGCATTGCTGCCAGTGACCATGATTATATCATTAGTATGCATTTCATAAAATTGTACAAAGTTAAAGGGAATGCCCCAGTGTTTTTTGACTGCTGCTATGAAATCACTAAAAAAATAATAAGTCCAAGCCACAAAAAACTTTCTTCTTCCAACACATCATTGATTATGATAGTAAAATCATTAAAAAAATACATTTTTGGGTAATTAAAAGCTGCTGTTCAGTCTTCATCTTTATACCTGTTATTTACATTTAAACGAACAAGTATCTGATATGTGAGGAACGGGAAAAGAGGTTAAGTCAGGACAGCCTAAAGCAGGAAAGAGAAAGCAAGTGACAAGACAGAGTCACAAAAGCAGAACCTGTACAGAGTATTCGTGGACAGCCGGACAGAGTAAAGCTAACAAACAGTGAGAGAGAGAGGTAGTGAGATGCTGCAGGAGCAGGAGACTTCTCCAGACAGCTTGTCATCGGCAGCCTTGCCCAGCGGAGCCGCCAGTGCGAGAGAGCACATTAGGCATGCACGCTGAACTCCGAGGTGTTGTTTACCTCACACCCCCAACCAGGCAGCCCTCCACCTCATCTAACCTCTCAAAACCAGTCCTCCCCGCAGGCCCCTGTCCTTCAAATGTCACTGCAGGAGGGTGGAGATGTGTGTGGTGAGCGGTAAGTGTGTTTCTGTCTTGGAGACTGTGAGTGCGCTCGTGGGTGTGTTGATGCGAGCAGGAAACAAGTGTGTGCGAGTGGATGTGTCAGTGCTTCAGTCGTCTGCAAGGTCTTTAAAAGAAGTGTCCTGTCATCTGAATTTTTGGGGCATTAACTCTGCTTTGCCTTCCATCACCTGAAGAGAAGAAGTGACCTCTTGTAACATAAAATTCAAACGTCAGTATCCAGTAAGCCTCTTGGGGGCTTGTGTGTGCTGATTTGATTGATTTCATTCAATATCAACACACTAAAAGTACCCTGAGACGTCAAGGCCCCTTGGGTGTAAGAGAATTTTTTCACCTCATCTGGAAACCCACTGGTTTTGTCTCAGCTGTAACCTTTATATTGCTTCTGTACAGCACGACATAGGTTGTAGTTTTACAGCTGCAAGGGGAGATTTTATATGTGAAATTGGAAACAAGCATTCAAACGCATCAATCAAGGGGATTTTTTGGAGGCAAGGATGAATTGAATTAAAGTGGGTTAACGCAGGAATCAAAAACAAATCCTAATTTCTAGGTCAAAAAGGTAGTTGGAAAATCAAGAGAAGTACTGTGCTGTCAAAGGAATCCCTACCCTAAGTTTTGTCAAACACAAGTCTGATAAACACGGCCCAAACAGGTGTGTCTCATTAATGTGTTGTTGCACAACAGGGAGGAACTGGAAACTTCTGACAAAAATCCAACTTATTTTCATAGACGTGTTGCTTTTTTTCCCCTTTTTCCTGGGGGAAGTGTGAAGCTTTTTATTCAAAAAGTGAGTCAATTAGGAGTTTGTTTTTAGTGCTCTGTCACCTAATGAGTCGCTTAATCCGGCAGAATGTCTTTGATGTGTGGCGAAGTGACCCGATTTTGCTGCTTTAAGCAGGGAACGTGGACCATGAAAAAGCGAGATCAAGCTGCTATTGTTTGGATGCAACACACTCGGAGAGGACAAACTGAAGGGACAGCGAGCATTATGGGAATTTCTACCTAGAAGTGTTGCAGAGAGATTTTGCTTCACTCTGAAGGGTTGAAATAATGAAGATAAATGAATGGTGTTCTATTTTCTAATACTGTTTGATGGGATTATAATTGAACATGCTAACATTTTACCTCGGAGCAACAGTTGTCCCTCACTCCATCTCTGTCTTTTCTGCAAAAACCTTTTACCCACACCTGAGTCTTTCTTGACACACACACATACATCAAGGCCATGTATGGAAACCAGCTCCTGTCAGCCGTCAAGGCTAACTGCCCAGGGAGTTGTCCAGACCCATTGATTGTATCACAGGCTCGAGGGAGAGAGCCAGATAAAGGCGGGTTGTGAAGGTGGCACAACAAAAGGATGAATGAGGTGCCACTGAAATGAGCTGACGGTATAAGATCAAAGAAAATGGCTGTCAATCTCCAGATGATATTTAAACTCTCTGAAATCTGAACTACTTCTAAGGATTTTTTTTCTCTTCCGAGTGTCTCTTTGTTGCTTGTTCCCCCTCTCTGTCTCTCTTCTCTTTCCCATTATCATCCATTTCCACCTACCCCCTCCACCCCCCTCTTTTAAACACTTAAATGCCCAGTCCATCTCTCTCTCTCTCTCTCTCTCTCTCTCTCTCTCTCTCTCTCTCTCTCTCTCTCTCTCTCTCTCTCTATCACCACCTAAACTCCTTTTGCTTTGACTTTCAGGGGATGAATTAAGAAGGTAGAGAATCCACACTCTCTATCTGCACTAATTCCAACAGGAAGCTCTCCGGCCTTAACAAACTTTCCCATAATTTGCACATCAGTGTCAGTAGGCAAACATATAAGGACAGAAATCATAAATGTACATATGTAGACATGTACATACACCCACCCAGGCACACATATTCTCCATCTTCTCCTCCACACATACACGCACGAACTAGAGATCCACTCCCTTGTTGCACTGCAAGGGAGTGTGCTTGTCTGAGGATCAGTGCTAATGGCTGAAGCTTATCCCTTCACAAACTGCCCCCCCACCCCATTTTCCCTATTTCTTCCGCTCTACCTCTGCAACATAAAGCCATTAGCGGAAAAAAGAGAAGCAGTGACAGCTGAAACCATGAGATTGGGAGCAATGCTGACACTGCTAGTTCCAGCCTCGCTGCGCTTTCATCACAATAGATGATTGACTGGTTTTCTCAACACCTGGCCCGCTGTTTTGTAAGATAATAGTGAAAAATAATGCAGCAACATTGTTGAGAGACTGGTTTATGCTTTGAAAGATTTATACGAAGAGAGCTCCGGCAGTGCAGTCATATGCCGTTTTTTCAACACAGATATGAAATCCCAGTTCAAGCTGTCATATCTCTGCCTTGTCTGAATTTAGAACTCTGCGATTTCTCTTAACATGAAGGTTGGCAAAACTCCCTCAGTATTTCAAAGGAATCCACTTATTACATTTACTGCTGAGTGGTAAGAATGATTGAGCGCATCAGCAACAAACAAGTTGCTGACCTATATTTCACCTGCAAAACCCTGCAAAAACAAAAACAAACTAAGACTTAAAACAGCTATAATCTCCATTTTATGATAACAATGTATCAAATGACTGTGAGAACAATGTGATGGACCTACAGAGAAATATCACCTGAATCTTGGCTTCGGGGAGCTTTAGTAAGTTTCAGTTCATTCTTGTTTCTTGTTTTCTTGTTGTCAAAAAAGTAATAACAATAATAATAAAAGAAAATCCTAAATGTGTCTTTTGTTTTTTTAAAATGCTGGGTGAAATTCCTCCCCATGACATTTGACTGTGGCATTATTGTTTTCTGTCAGAGGTTGAATTCTTGATAAGGTGCAATGTTTTGCTGTGGTTTATTCACTATTCCAATGCTTGACTGGCACCATCTCTGTAGGTGTGTGTGTTTGACTGAGATAAAGTCAGAAAGTAGCCTACCCACTCAACCTAACTCCTCTTAATGATCGTGCCCAAGAACATCGCTCAGATTGAATTACCCAGCAGCAGCATGCAAGCAGGAACACAGCACCTCCAAATATTCACTACAATTGTTTACAAAGCAGAAATTGAAGTATTAGGAGTAAAGAATAAATCATGCCCTCTAAAGAAAAGTTACATAAGGTGAACCGGATACTGTCTCATGCAACTTTGCTGAATTTGTATTAAAGTTTGGTCCACTGTGAAATTATGGTGTACAAGTTTATCTTTTGTCCTCCATGCAATGCAGGGAGCATCCGGAGCAACAAAGGCAGCAGTTTTTTATTCATGCAATTTATTTATTTGTTATTTAGTTGGACCTTTAATTATGGTAACCTTGTAAAATCTCCATTCACTTCAAAGCAATTGTACATGAAAGTTAATTCAAAGTCATGCGGTGCACAAACAGGGAGCTCTTGGTTTTAGCTTTGTTGACTTTCTACTTATCTCAGCATTTTATGGTGCTGTAAATACGTAAAACTTAAGAGTGTGATCGATCAATATGCATCTACCCTCTATCTGTCACTGGTTGAAAAAAAAGCAAGTGAGTGGAGATATTTCAAACACAGCAATGGTGCTGAGTGGATTTAATGGTATAATGTTTAGGTCTGGTGCCTGTTGCATCTTAAAAAGCTTGGTTTCTCAAAGCTGGATCTTGGTGTTAAGAGCTTTTGGCTGTAGCCTCTCATGCATGCGACGCTATGAACCCAGTGACAGTGAGAAAAAGAGGCAGAACATCAGCTCAAACTCAGAAACACACTAAAATTCGCATTATGCATGACACAAGGTTGTAGGGAAGGGCAAACTATGAAGACACTCATGAATTTCAAAGACCTTAAATTTGCCTGAATATATCTTCATGTGTCTGAAATTTTATAAGAATCAGAACTGCAATTTAAAAACATGAACTTACTCTTTATCCCTCAGATCCTTGTAAGAATGCAGAGGGTGTCCATGAAGATATTTATGAAGCATGAAACAAAATATTGGCATTCTATATAATTATGACCGGTATTCACCTCAACCTATTCAGCTTTTCACTTTGAAAGATGAGTGAATAATATATTAATATACTAATCCTCTTACTCTTTTATGCTTTTTATCTGCGTCAGTCTTAGCTGCTTTTACTTTCTATCTATCCAACTGGTTAGACATGACAGCTTTGCAGAATTGCCATGTAAAGCCCTTTGTGTCTTTATTTCAGTTAGAATATATTGACACTGAATACATTGGGTGTGATGAATAAAAAAAAAAAACCCCTCTCTAATCAGTCTCTGATGTCTTAAATGTATTTTATAAAAGTTCTGGTACAAGGAAGCCGACTCCACAGATCAAATGCAGTGTCAGCTTGCCAATCCCCCCTTCCATGGTCTATGCCTAGGTCAAAAAGTGGGGCGTTTACTGCTCTTCTTAGCCATCTTGTCTTCTTTCCTTAACACCAAAATCCAGTCAGAACCAGTTTCCAACAAGCATGTCTGAAGAAATTGAAATGCCCCACAGTCTTTCTAATCTTTCAACAGATGATTTAACATTAATTCAGTAATTGTACAAGGCAAAAAATAAGATGTAGAGAGAAAGAGAGAGAGGCAAAAACATAAAAACAAGAACTTAATCCTGCATGTTACATTGACTACTGAAATCATGTCACTGTGACCTTATTAGCTTTAAATTAAGCCTATTAGTTTTGAAAAATGCATAGGACATGATGGTAATGACCCATAACATTCTCCTACCCATGTATTAATATTGAGCCAAGCGTTTGTTCAGGCAGGCCACGAAGTCAACAGCTCACACTTCCAGCTACATCAGCTGATCGCAGCTGATCGTAAACACACATCTGGTGATGGCTCAGCTGATTCCCTTCAAGCATCAAATTGGCAAATGTCATTCAGGGCACCTTATTTAAGATGCTTTAGCCTGCCTCCCCCTGCTGCTTCCTCTGCAACCCGCTTTGCAACCCGCCTCCACCCCAGCTCCTCCTTTTATGCTGTATCTGATTTAATCAATGTAATTTCTGTTGTCATTGATGCCTGCTCTGTTCTGTACCCTAGGGGGTCTTTGCTGCTGCTCTCCTTGTCTTAAGCTTTCCATGTATGCACATAAAAGGGCAGGAAGGTGTGCTCTCCTGACTTAGGCTTTCTATGTATGCATGTGGAAGGGCAAGGAGGTCCTAGAACAGAGCCATACCGCTAAATATAACATACAGCATTTGGAAATAAAGTTTTCTTTTGACAAAAGTGGCCCTGATTGAAATAAGGCTATTCATGATGAAACTCGATATTATAAGACCATGAAGTGAAACTCTGGTCCTTGCAACATACTGCAGTATAGTATTATAGAGGTTCTTTTTCAGGCTACTTTTCTGTGTATGTTTTTCAGGCTTGTGTGCTGCATGTGTGCATTAGTGCCTCTGTGGACTTGCTTCTTTAGTGTGTGTGTGTATACAGTACAGCACATTTACGCGTTTCTCTTGTTAAGCCCATTAAACAGCCACCTTCCTCCCAAAGGTTCATGTGAGGAGAGTTCCTACGAGCCTTTGTCTCCCATCTCCACCATCGCATATTTATCACTGCAATTAGGCGCTCTGCTGAGCGTGTAGGCACACACTGGGCAAGCATTTCTCCTCCACTGGAGAGCCTGTCTGCCCTGTTTACCTGAGAGCCTGCTGTGTGTGTATGTGTGTGTGTACATGTGTGTAAGAGAGAGAAACAGAAAGAAAGAGACTCTGCCATCTTTGCTGCAAATGTAGTTTTGAGCACAAGTTGATTGTCAAGTGCTCCTGTTTTTTGTTGCAGTTTGGATCAAGAAGCCACCAGAGCTTCCTTTGTAGCAAATGTTGTCTTTTGTCCTTGCTGTGTCTGTGTCTGTACTCATATACAGTGACAATATCACTGACAGACAGACCTAGCTTAGAGAGAGAGGCAGAGAGACAGTGCTGCGGACAAAAGAATGCAAAAATACAGGTGAAAAGATGAATGAGGCTGAAGCAAAATGAAGAAAGCACAGGAGAGAGGTGCCAAAGACATTTAAGAAAGCATCAGTGAGACATGAAAAGGGAAGTAGAGTGTGTCGCATAGCTATAAACTCCAAATGTCCATATTTAGCTTTTGAACATATGTTGTATATCCACGGGAGCCCAGGAAGTGAAACTGAAGCCAACACTTCATGCACAGGATGTATCCATATCGAAATTACACTCTGTCCGGTCTGCATTGACAAAGACAGGGTGAGAGCTAGAGGGTATAGAGGGTAAAGGATGGGAATGGGAGAGAATCACAAGTGTAAAAGCCAAGAAAGGAAAGAGCAGAGAGGGGACGAGAGGTACCACAAGAATATCGGGAGAGATATAGTCAGACATGAGAGACGAACAGAGACAATTAGGAAAAAGCAAAGCAGAAATGATAGATATGTAGAAGACAGTGCAGGTTCACAAGTCACAAAATCATAGATGTCTAATTTATGTAATAATTATTATATAATTAAATGAACACAGCACACACAGATATTTCTGCAAACAGTAACACAACCACACCGGCTAAATCTCTATGGATCACTCTTGTCTTGTGTAACTTAGTTTTGCAGTTAACAAAAGTTTTGTTTTGTCCTATACGCTCCAGTTGAGGTGATGCCTTTATAATGTGCTTTCAGTGTAAGTGATGGGGTACAAAATCTACAGTCCTTTCCCACAGTTAATCAGAGATCAATATGAGGCTCTACCCATCTGAGTTACCTAAATCAATTTAGAAGGTTAGAGTATTTTTAATAAAAAAAATAGTGTTACTATCCCACCACAGCAGCTCAGCATGGCAACATAAAGATAGCTTTTTATGCTAACAATACTGTATCAGTTTTTGTATTGCTTGTCTTCCTGTAAAACAAAATGTGACAGGTGCTTCGATTTCAACCAATAACATCATGACATCCACCTGTCAACTTCCAATTCAACTTTTAGTGACACAGAGTGAAAATGAATGAGTTAGCTAGCTGGCAACAGCATGTGCTTTTCACTGGGTGCTTCCAGTCCTGCAGAGTCAGCTAATACGTCCGCTATAGCTGCTGGATATGTTTAAATGCTGGACTAGCGGGGGCGTAACACACAGCACTATTGGCTACCGCGACAAGTTCCTCCTTGGCCGCCTGTTTTTACAGGAAATACGTAAATCAAACAGCTCTGTGATTGCGAACCTGTCCATTAATATTAAATTGGTTTTGAATAAGTTTCCAGGAGAATGTAATTGCTCAGTTAAAGTTTGCCAAAGCACAATGTCAATGATTCATACTCACTCACACACATACTTACACATTATACTCTCACCCATCCTTCCTGATACTGTTTTCCAATACAGTTGCAAGTTTGCGTCTTTTTAAATTGTTAAATTATTGAACAGAGACTGGCCTTCCTCCTTTGACTGGGCTTCCTTTGTTTTAGGTCTCCATCACACTGGAAAACATTGGAGAACAACACTTTGAGATGAGTGTGCGTGTCTAATTTGTGTGTGGTAGGAGGACGTCCACTCATCTTGATGCAGTCTTGACAGTTCACAGGAGTTAATCTACTCCCAAAGGTTGAGGACACACTCAAACCAAATGTCCTCAGTAAGATGTGCTCACACATGCATGTGTGTTATTTAGTCTGACTAGAATGAAGAGGTAATGGCATTCAAATGAGCGGCTGTGTAACACTTTTGATGTCTGTGGCTTTGATGCTCATGTGGAGACAAGGTGAGGGCAGATACTAATGGGCAGAGAGAGAGAGGTAGA